CCTCTAGCGATTCCATGTCTGGCTGTTCTAGAATCTCGTATAGCCATTGTGCTTCTAGCTTTCCTTTTAGAGCTGTCTTGAAGGCTTTTAGGTCGAGAGTCCTAAGCTTGAGAGGAGGCTGCCCCTCGGTTAAGCCTCTCACGCATGGCACGCGAGTAAGAATAGGAAGGTGGTCTGAACCACACTCAAAAGCCAGGTTAACCTCTGTGGCTGTGCCCCTTTGATAGAGGCCGCTAGATCAAAAGGCTAAGTCAAGAGTGTTCCCTAGATTATGCGTTTGTGTGCCAGGAGGGATAGTAAGCTGTAGCCCTCTGTCCTCTATCCAGTTGATAAGCGAGGGTGCCTGTACACTCTCTTGGCCAAGGAAGTTCGGTTGCCAGAGCTGGCTCTTTAAGTTGAAGTCCCCAGCTAGGAAGAGGTTTGTTGTAGAGATATGTTGAGAGCTAAGGACAAGGCTTATAGCCTCACCTGCTCCCTTAGCACCTAGAGGGGCGTTGTATACGTTAAGTATATGAAGTGCGGGGCCTTGAGAGAGTGGAATTTCAACATAAACGAGGTCGCGGGATTTGAGCGAGGGCGCGATAGGGGTCCGTTGGCTAGCAAGGATTCCAGCCCCTTTTTGTACAAAAGTGAGTACTCTTGGTGGATCCATGCTCCATTGTGAGAGGCCAGACCTCGAATAGCTCAAAGGTGTGGTTTCGAATATTCAATTAAGAAAAGTGCGTGAAGACTACATACATACAAGCTCTTTCTCTATATATAGAGAGAGGAAGAGCTTCTAGAATATTCCAAGAAACTGCTTAACAAATACATGATGTCAAGAGAATAGAACAGAAAAGTATAGAAGAGAAGAGACTTGCTTGGCAGTGGGGTTATGGCCAGTGCTGAGCAGGGACTTTGGTCAGTGCTTAGCGAGGGCATGGCCCGAGCCTCCATCATGGGTTCCAACCCTCACATCCATTCGCATATAGGCGTAAAACAGTCGTAGTTTGGGTGGCGTCTTGTGATCTGGCGGCTGATATCTCTTAGGTAGATATATGGCTCTTGAATTAGTACTACATCGACTCGCTTATAGTGGGCCAATTGTAGTACTAGCTCCTGGTATTCGCTAGACTTGTGTACATTGATTTGTAGGACTTGGAGGCAGTGGTTCTTAATAAATCCTTGTCTACTCATAGTACAGTAAAGTTTCTTATCCGCGTCTCATTCCATGCTTGCCGGATTGCTCTCTTGTTCTCGGTTGAGGGGTGAGCCCCTGAGGCTTTTGGTCTGAGCTGGCACGTGGTGTCGTCAGAGGCGCGTGGGCCACTACAGTGTAGGCACTTCAGTTTACACTGAGAGTGTCTAATACACCTAGGGTGGAAGGCTTCAGAGTGTTTAGTGGTACCGCATAGGCNTACAGTGTAGGCACTTCAGTTTACACTGAGAGTGTCTAATACACCTAGGGTGGAAGGCTTCAGAGTGTTTAGTGGTACCGCATAGGCGGCAACGCTGGTTCTTCCCACAGTTCCTTGAGTTATGCCACATCCAGCACTTAGAGCACTGTGTAACAGTAGAGACTTTAGGAAGGCGCTTAAAGAAGGCTCTTCCTCCAAAGAGAGACGTCATTTCAGGGATGGTGTGAGGGGCCCTTGTGTCCTTTTCCTCAAAGAATACTATCCAAGAGGTGTAGAACAGCCCGTCAGAGAGAGAGCTCGTAGCCATGTCAACCTTTGTAGGTATTACTCTCATTCGCTCTTCTATAGCCGCAGTAACTACACTAGGAGTAGTAGGGATGAGGGTTGATATAATTGCTCCTTTTTCACTGATCTGGACTGTTTCAACACTTCGAGGGATCCCTGATAAACGGAATACTGCCCAGTCTTGCGAGGCCTCTATTCTGGCTGCATGGAACAGGGTTTGAATAAAGGCCTTTTTTGTTGATAAGAGGGTGGCTCGGGCTTCCTTGCTATTAGGTACAATAGCAAAGCCAGAGTTAACTGACAGTACTTCTTGTACAAGCTCGCTACAGCCAATTTTTGGGTCGCAGAGAGCAAGGTAGATAGCTAGAGCAGAGTGTTTCCTTTCAGCCCCTTTCAGGAGCGTCTAGAGGTAGTCGGAGAAAGACTCTGAGGTCAGATTTGGCTAGGGATCTCTTGTTCTTCTGTAGCTTCGAAGTGACAGGAGGAGGTAGGGGGTTTTNCGCAGAGAGCAAGGTAGATAGCTAGAGCAGAGTGTTTCCTTTCAGCCCCTTTCAGGAGCGTCTAGAGGTAGTCGGAGAAAGACTCTGAGGTCAGATTTGGCTAGGGATCTCTTGTTCTTCTGTAGCTTCGAAGTGACAGGAGGAGGTAGGGGGTTTTGTGGTGTTGCTGTATCAGGCGCTGAGGCATCTTTTATGGTCTGTGCGTAGGAAAATTTTCCCACAGGGGCCAGAGAGGGGGATGAAGTCGAGGGGGATGTAGGGTCGTCCCTATACCTGTTGGGGGCTCTAGGAGCTAAATGTAGTAGAGGCGGGGCCCCTGAGGTGTATGTTCGGTGAAAGGCTAGGCTAAGGTCGGCCACCTGTGTACAAAAGGCCCTGAGGTAGGGCAAGAGGTCCGGAGGTGCTCTATCAAGAGCAGTACTTAGGTGGTGGTCTACAGCTTCTGCGGTGCCTCCAAAGAAGATTTGGCCTATAGCACCACGTTCTAGAGCTTCAGTGGTTCCAGAGACAAATTGTTGTTGTATGTTGGGGAGGGGAGGAATTGGGCGTACCCCCCCTTTCCCTATACCCCTTCCTAGGGGCGTAGTCGTGGCCGGAGGCCTCCTTAGAGGTGTCTCCATGGAAGGAATTCAGCTTATTAGGGGAGAGTAAGAGAGATTGAGCGTTTTAGAACAAAAAATTCAATCTACGAAAAAAGGTGTCGTTTGAGGCAACACTATAAGTGCAATGTTTTTCGAGCCAAATAGTCGCTCAGCTATAAGCAAAAGGACTACCGAGCGATAATTTAATAATAGCGACGTTTTAGTAGTAAAGTTGCGAAGTGTATAAGTACGCGCTTACTAAGAAGAAACCACACTATATTTGTCCCTCTAAGTATTTGGAGGGTATTAAACCTTCGAATCGAAGCGCATTTGTCCCTCGAACTAAAGCGTATCTGTCCCTCGAATTGAAGCGCATTTGGCCCTCTAATTGAAGTGCATTTGAAGCGTACTTGGGCCTGAGTATATAAGAGTATTTTCTATTTATATTCTACTAACCCTAATCACTAACTCCAACCCTCCTTTCGTCGTATCTAAGGTATTCAAGGTAGACTTAGATATGTGAAAAGGATATGTGAATCACGTACAATTCCGGGGTTTCCGCGAACATATCTGCTGGCATTCCTGGCGTCTGATTGGGTGGATACAAAGGATATGTGGTAGTGTTGGTGGCGCGGAATTCCGTGACGGAAAAATCGCTTCCGCAAGACTACGATATGTGTTTCAGTTGGTGGCGCGGAATCCCTCGCGACATGCAACTTTCCAGAAATTGAGACAGTATCACGTGGTTCCACAGTGAAAAGCGGGGAGTATTGTCCCGCTAAGGAATGTTCAGGGTCTTTTTGGGGAGCGTGAAAGTGCCCTATTAAAAATTCTATATAAGTTGAGAGAAATTACACACAAGTTTAGCAACCTCTTGGTTATATGCAATGCTAAGTTTACACAAAATTAGAACCGTGTATTCTTTCTACAGCTTTGTAGAAAAAAAATCGTATTAGAAATAGGGGCTCGCTAAATCCGAGAATACACCTTGCCGGGATAGAGAGCACGGAGGGGACGCATGTTCGGAATATAGATTCGGCCATATCCCATGATAGTGAAGAGTACTTATGTAGATTATAGTAGAACTATAGAATATATACTTGCCGACAAGTATTAGGTAGAGTACAAATGTTTTTATTCTCACTCTAGCTAATTTTCCAGCCCTAACACCTATTTGATGACCAGTGCACCATGCATCTTTTCTTCTCACTCAATAACTTTATGTATTACTAAATCTTAGGCTCCTAGTATAATGGTACTGTATCACCTGACCTCATTCCATACAAAAGCACCCTCCCAAGCTAGGTAATGCAAGAGAATATACATAGGGTACTCGACAAAGCCATCAAATATTTTCCGCATACAATGAAAGGTTTAATCTTACAATCCTACAAAATTCTCTAGCAAAAGAAGAAAGACAAAAAGAGCGAGGCGGAGAAACGCCCTTTAGTTGATAGAAGAAAGACGAGGAAGTGCTTATCAGCGGTAGACTGATTTGTGGGGTGTTATTAATGGAGGATGGAGTGTTCCTGATGCTCTCAAGTTTTATCTTACCCGAGATATGGAGGAAATTGATAGATCCTGTTTCCGGGATTAGGTCGAAGAGTCTTTTATCAATGAAAGTATGTAATATGACCAGTCAAGCAAGTTTTATACTGTGAACGTCAGCTATCTTTCGAGCCAATGCGTTGGGTAGAAAGCTAGCAAGATTCTCGTCGTTTTGAGGACTTGGAGAGATGACTCGGTTGGGCATTTGTAAAACTCGGTGACTGGAGTAACTTTGTTAACGTTGCTAAGTGTAGAGAGATAAAATCTGGGGAACTCCTTATATTTAATGAAGGATTCTCTTTAAATACCTTTGGTTGTGACTCTTATGATAGGTTACGACCTGTATTTTAGGTATTGTCTTCGTCTCGTTTTAAACAAACAGACAAAATTTCACGTCAATTAATTCGACCTATTCTATCGAAAAATAATTCGGCTCCCATTTCAAATAATATTGGTACACAGCTAGCCTACCTAGTATCCTAGGTTTTGTCTCTGGGAAGTTGTGTTCATTCATTTTTTGAGCTCATTGTAGCGGCACGTGACACAACCTCCAAGCCAATGGGAGAAATCCGCTGAAGTCCAGGGGGAAGAGGGGAGGACTGCGCCCACTTACGAACAGATCTTACACCTAGTCTCCGTTACCTCCCAGAACACTCGATACCCTCATAAGTCTCGAAGAACAGAACAGCATGCTCTGCAAGAACTGTTCAGATGTCGATATTGTCGCTGCGCTGAGTGGGAAGTACCAGAATGGTGTGAAAATTTCTGAGGCCCCGTACGAGGATGGTGTTTGGATCTCGCGTACGTCCAATCCAGAGTTGGTGTGGGTTTGGGAAGAAGAAAAAGGATGCGAGTTTTGTGAATTTCTTGAATTTGTGTCGAAAAATTTCAAGCCCGATAGAAGATTCTTGGACATCGATAATAGTCTCAACATCAAACCGTGTAGCCTAATGGTCCACGGACAAGATCCACACGGATTCGACTCTCCTATGCTGGATCCACGTTCTATTGCGCCTTTCCTATCACCTTCTTATATAATTGCGCATCCATCTATAAAGATGATGTTTATCAATCCGTATGATACGAGCCCGCATAGACCCGTTCACTACTACGCGTCTTACGCGTCTTCCCATGAAGTCGCATTTGGTCCTTCAGAAACAATTGATATGACAGATAATGAGCCAACAATCCGCGAGCTGTCAATTAAATCCGACCTTAGTACTTTCAGGGATCGCTTGCATACTTGCATTCAGCAGCACGATCGTTGCCAACTGATCAAAAATGAAAATATAAGATCTCCTAGCCATCTTCGAGTCATAGATTGCTCATCGCACAACTTTATTCTGGCCCCAAAGAATGCTCGATATGCAGCTTTAAGTTATCAGTGGGGCAATAGCGCCAGCGCATTTGACTTAGCAACAAACACAAAATTGCCTACCGCCCTACCAGCAAGTATCAAAGACTCTATTGCGGCCACATTATCACTTGGTTTAAAATACCTCTGGGTCGATGCATATTGCATCGTACAAAATAACGAAGATGACTTTAAGTATCAAATTCGACAAATGGATCTCATTTATCAGCTTGCAACGATCACAATCATCGCAGCCACAGGTACCAACTCTGACTCCGGTCTTTCAGGGGCCTCACATATAGGCAGTCGCGTCCAGGCAAAAGCCGCGTTCCGTGGTTTTTCTCTCCTGACTTTCTCAACTATAACACCGCGGTCCATACAACTATCAGGCTGGTGCTCCCGAGGATGGACATATCAAGAAGGCTTCTTTTCCAGACGAACACTTCTCTTCGCTGAAGACCAAATCTTGTTTAATTGCGAGGAAGGAACAGTGGCAGAAAGTCACACATATTGTCGAAAAGAACCATTATTATCAAAATGGCGATTGAATATGCCAAGCTGGAGCATTTATATGATTATCGAAGACTTCTCCGGACGTCACCTGACCTTCCCCGCCGATATTCTGAATGCATTCGAAGGTGTTTTGAACACCTTTTGTAACATGGAGCTTGGGTTCAAAACGTATTGGGGAATTCCTATGCCTTGGCCACATGACCACAAAAGTTCTAGTTCTACGAACTTCCTTCGGGGTCTTTCTTGGAGGGCAGCGGGGAAAGGAAGGGAACTTTGCCGACGAGAAGGCTTCCCAAGCTGGTCATGGACTGGATGGATTGGACCAGTCAACTATTTTATGGTATATGGTGTCTCTGGTATTGAAATGAAGAACTATTCGGAATGGAGGGTCGATGCTGAATTAGACAGCCGTACAAAGAAGTCAAGGATAGAAACTGAGTCTATCACTTCCACTGATAAGAAAGAAAATATGACTTCAGGCAGACTTTGGATCTCAGGTCCTTCAGTGCGAGTCATAATAAAGGAGATGTCAACTGGCCTCGACAAGAGCTATTATCTAAGTTTAGATGATCCTGATAGTAAAAAGATCTGGTTTATACTCTTGGACGCCAGATTTGAGTATCTTGATCCGCTCAATGAATCTTTTGGCACTGACACACGAAGAGGCTATGCTATATGGTTGTATTCAAACAACATTAATAGTCTAGAAGATAATGTCTTTCTGCTAATTTCAAGAAGATTGAATTGAGAGCGAGTTGGGATCTGGGTTCCCCAGTTTCGGACAAAGGAGGAAGCCAGCAGCTTTGAGGATCAGTTACGGGCAAATCCAAGCTTCCGGACCAGGGAATTCTGTATTCAGTAGATTGAGCTTTGGGTTGGATGGGACTATTATTGGATTGGGAAAGGAATGCTGGCTACCCTTACTCGTTGACCTTCAGTCATTTCTCTATTAACGTTCAAAATATTCTTATGACGCAGAGAGTCTTTGTGGAGCTTTTCATTGGTTATAATCACATGCATCAAATACCAAAGCTTGGATGTTTAAGTAGTTCTATGACAAGGGGTTCTACTGCCAGTCTTTACTAAAATGACATTGCGTTTATTGTCAAGTTTTCAAGAAGACAGGCTTGCTTGTCTCTGAGCATATAGATAGAGGTGTCACTGAGAAGGAGTAATTAACTTTCTGTGAGTTTTAATGAGAATTGACTTCAACTTGAAGTTTCGAAAATAGAGCGCATCACCTCTGTAAACTAGTTGAGGAAAATTAGCAGGCTGCACAAGGCAACTTTGTGTGTACAGTGCATCAGAACCTTTCTGGTGTATTGATATGATATATTCACCACAGATCTAGAGGACTATCCAAGTGAAGGGTACCAGAGATGTAGGTAAGGTGGATGCTAAATGCAGTCAAGCTGTTTTTTCCACAGTTGTATTGGTAGTAGTACCCTTCATTCACCCTTTTCCTTTTTACTTATTGACAAGAGAAAACAACAAACAATACCTCCCATTTAAATTCTCATCACACATGACAGAAATCAGACAGCTAGGAGAACGGCCTTGATAGAACAAGAATAATAGAAATAACATTGACTTCCTGAGGTGCAATAATTGACAGGAACTGGAGGATCATGGATTCATGGTGCAAAGAGGTACTGCTCAAGGCTCTAGGTGAATACAGATAACAATAAGGTTTTAAACTAAACTAGTCGGTATTGCCTCTTTTTTGGTCTCCCCTCCCTCTATGACATCACAGAATCAGACCAAGTCAAATAGTTTTATCAGTAATCCAACAGGGAAATGAGTCTTTGTCTTTCCCTTTGACGACATGTTTCACATGTTTTGATGAAGAGTTGTCCTAGAATTCATGTGAAGCTCAACAGCAACAGCGACTTCTTGCAGTCATCGGACACTTTGCCGGATCAGTACCCCTGTCAGAGCTCTCGCTTAGCACAAAATACCAGGATACCAGCGATGCAAGGCAGAAGAGCCAGGCAGATAATCGTTGGTGGCGCAATTTTACTTTATTGATTAAGTTTCATCGTCCTGCTGACACTGGTAAAAGAATATGGATCTTTGTCGCACAAGATCAATTTTCAGTGAAAAGCGACATCAACTGTGAATGTTTTGTCAATTGATTCCAAACTGCTTGACGTAGAGAAGACTTTTCAAATGAGCTTTGTTCCTCCTTTGCGTCCTCTTCTGCTTTTAAATCCTCACTCAAAATATATTTTAGAAGGTATCTCAGTAGGCTTTGCGAAAATAATAATTGGCTATCGCTAAGCACCTGTACCCATCTCAAGACTTGCAGATACTTCTAGAAGAGGGGTACTGAAAAGCCGTCAAGTTAGTCGAAACTCTAAAATAGATAAGCTACTCCTCAGTCAGCCCATTTAGGAAGTGATCGTCTATAAAAATTTTGATTGAACTGAATCCACCGCGGACTGCCTGGTCTGTGCTCCTGACCGACCTCAGCATAAAAAGAGGTCCTCTCCCCCTCCTGGGCATCTCTTTTTCTTTCCTCAAACACAAATAAAAATCGCATTCTGGTGCATCCAAATCTTCATTCTTCCCCTTCAAACCAACCACTCTTCACACTTCAATACTCTTGCTCATCGCAACACTCTCACTCAAAATGCAATTCTCTTCAGCTATCGTCGCCATCTTTGGTGCATCTCTCGCCATCATGCCAGTCGTGTTTGGTGCCCCTCAAGGTGGAATTCTTGGCTCTTGTTATGCTGGATGCTTGGTTGAGAAGAAGGGTTTGCTTGGTTGAGAAGAAGGGTTTCGACACTCTTTGTCTCCTCCGTGGACCTTGTGAGGACCGTAAGTCACCAAGTCTTCATTTCTGGTTTCACCCTAACGTTATCTAGACTGCGACAAGCTTCTTGCCGCCTGCGAGAAGGACTGTAAGGTATCCCATGCCGAATAAATCGTGAGTAACTCTTCTTGAACTATGACCAAACATAAAATTTAATTGTTCACCAGAAATCCTCAGAGACAAACGATGTCAACGACAGCTGATGGTCAATCTGAAGTGGTTAGCTGGGTAATGGGCATGACTGCTTTGGTTTCATGGTCTTGATTGGTCATTGGGTCTTGCTTGCTTGCTCATTGTTAAAGACTCTTGGAGGATGGGGGAGAACAGTGGTATTGGAGAGTATTGGGTGTCACTATAATCGTCTAGATTTCTTGGAGGTCACTCTTGGTGCTTCTTGACACATACGCAATACACTCAAATTGAAACCTCAATCTTGATTACTCACCTGTGTCTGTGATTTGAAGCTAACCCTCAGCCCTCCAGAAAGCCCTTCTCTAACCTCCCAACAATAGAGCAGCGAAGGCGTTTATTTGTTTTGACCCCTACGTCATATTATGCTCAAATTTCCCTCACATATTACTACAGCACGCGCTAGAACAAACAATATCAGTTCTTAATGCATAGTCCACCCCAGTCTGAACAAAGTCCATCCTGTAGGTCATCCACAAAGAGCCACAATTACCTCGCCATTGTTTTGCTCACCATGGCTTGGAGAATGAGGAATCATCAACTCTGCCCATTCTGTTTTGAGATTCTTTTGTATTGAGTTAAACGGTATTTTACTAATGTGTCCAAAGAGATCGTCATTGAACAGGAGCTAGGATAATGCTGTGTTGTGGTTCTTGGTGGGACACATACTTGCAATTTCCAAATCACAGATGTCGCTTGGACGATGAAGTTGTCTTATTCTTGGTGGGGGTCTCAAGGATTCCGCTATATTTTGACTGTGTTTCTTGCCATTATCTGTTGGATATTTCAGAAGTCATATTGAAGACTGATAAAAGAGAAGCGGGTAACTACATTTGGCACTCGGCTTTTGCTATTCGTATTTTTTGAGACTCTACGGATCCTTATAAGATACGAATACATTATGTAAACTTTGAGCCTCCTAGCAATTCATAACATGTCAAAATAAAGATGAGAAATTAAGCGAGATCTTCAAAATGCTCACCAGCACCCCATTAAATTTGTTCAGTTAAATTCAAGTCTTAGAAGTGCATGTATTATCCCCTTGACCTCTATACGTATCAAAATTTCAGAAAGGGGCCAAACTATCTTTACCCAACGATGACTTTTCTTCTTCAGGGGAAGCTGGAGGTTCGTCTAGGTCATGTGACATGAATCCCGTGACTTGGATGCATCCGTAAACAAAAGCTAGCTGGAGGTATTTCCGAAACATGTCTCTCTTGATTTTGATATCCTATCAATTGAAAAACTTCCTATTATTCGATATGTTTAGATGTTCCTATGCAGTTCTCAGGTCAGCCCACCTCAACGCACGTCCATCGGATTACCCCGCACTCCTTGGATACGTACTGGCGGGAATATGTTTACCCACAGCCAAAGCCACCAAAGATGCGTACCGAATTCGCAGCCGACTCTCCATACCCCCGCAGCTTTATGTTTTCCCAATGCCTACAAATGACTACCGGATTGAATTGCGGCAAAAAATAGACGATTCAAGGGCCTTGTTGAAACACGGTCATTATTGAAGGCCTGATTTGCTGTCATCTTGATTACTTTACCCTGCCATTCATTATTGAAATAGTCCTTGCTCCCTCCAACTTTTGAATATCTGCTTGATACTCTTCAAAGACACCAAACAAAACAAACCCCTCAACTCTCTCAATACCCTTCATCGTCGACTCAACCTATACCAACGCCACCCGACGAAACAATCATACTAAGATCATCATGGCAACAAACGGTACCAACGGTACCAACGGTATCAACGGCCACACCAACAGATTCGACCCCCACTTTACAAAACACGTAATTGATCTCATAGGCCCAGAGACAGCGCCACGACATAAAGAAATCCTCAGCTCGCTGATCAGCCATCTCCACGATTTCATCCGAGAAGTTGAACTCACACAAGATGAATGGGTCGTCGGTGTCAACTACGTCAATTCGATAGGTCAGGCATACCGAAAGAACCGAAACGAGGCTTGGAGAATTTGCGATGTTCTAGGCGTTGAGTCGTGAGTACTCCCCTCCAGTTTTTATGGTTTTGTAAGACATCGGTAGTAGTGTTTCACGTGCCTATTCAAAAGCATGGATATTGCTTGAGACAAGAGAACCATGAAAATACAAATCTTGTACAAAATAGCTGATTTAGCGTATCTAGACTTGTCGATGAAATCAACCACAAAATCGTCACCGAACAAGGCATTTCACCCACATCTTCAGCAATCCTCGGACCCTTCTGGTCGCCGGACACGCCATTCCGCGACCTAGGCGCCAGCGTCGTCCAAGACATGCCTCCAGACGGACAACTAACCTACTTCCACGGTATGATTAAAGACGTGGAAACCAAAAAGGGAATCCCCAACGCCGTCTTCGACATGTGGCAAGCCAGCACGAACGGAAAATACGATTCCTTTGACCCTGAGAACCAGAGCAAGCACAATCTACGCGGAAAATTCAAGACGGATGAGAACGGTCGATTCAACTTTTACTGTCTGAAGCCAACTGAATACGCTATTGATACGTCCGGTCCTTCTGGTGATTTGCTCAAGTTGATGGGACGCCATCCTAACAGACCGGCGCATATCCATATGATGGTCACGCATCCGGATTATATTGGTGTTACGGCTCAATTGTACCCTAACGATGATCCTTGGTTGGAGACTGATACTGTTTGCGCTGTTAAGGATGATTTGCTTTTGAATTTCACGCCAGTGGAGAATGAGCCGAAGGATGCAGTTTTGGATTGCGAATACGATGTCAGTTTATTATCGAAGAGATACAAGCCAGATTCTACCATGTTGATGGGAAATGCGGCTGGTGAGAAGCTATGATCACAAGAATTTATGACGATATTTCATTGCCATTGTTTGTTTGGTCATTTTTCTTTCCACTTGTATGTAGCATATGCATTATAGAGCCGAAGAGTTACGAAACAAGATCAATGAAAGAATTAGATACCCGTAACTTGTGATTTTCTCGAATACAAAATGATTTTCCGCTGTTGAGCTGCGCCGCACTAGCAATAAAGGCGCACTTTTGAAGGACAGTACCGTTGACATACATACTCGTATCGCTACCCAAAACCAATATGTATTCATATTTAATTAAGCCAGTTGGTAGGAAAGACTGATGCCAGGGTTATCTTCTGATGAATGAATCTGACTTTAGAGTCCTATGAATGGCAGAAAGTACCCATTTTTGGTCTAGTGCGGTCGCTAATCGACTAAGCGAGCAACCTCACTTCTTCACCTCTACCACCAGCGCATCCAAGTACAACCACTCTACACATCTTGGATGGCTGTATCGCAAATAAATTGGCACAAATAGATAGTGTCCATCCATGAGACGCCTATGTCTTTTCTAAGTTAGAACAGAACATTTGACCGTCGCTAGACTCATCAACCTAGTTTCATCATCTCCAATGATACACCACAATATATTGTATAGAGGTCATGGAAGTGATTTCGCCGCAATGTTCATTTAAGGGAACTACTTTATGCTACGTTCCTGGAAAATATTAGGGATACGGTTAAGCGAATAGCGGTGCCGTTCAAGAAGAATCATCATTCCCCATTGTGACTGCTACAGCTACTCTTTGCGAGCCCCTCAAGAAATCTTAAGAGAGATAATCAAAAATCACAGCAGAGGCAGAGTTTCCATCCAAATGTACCAGCCCTTTTTATTCCCCAAAGCCACCCACCCCACCACATCAAAAGTTTCTTTCCCAGAAACCACTCAAAATATCCCATACCCCTGAGCCGCAAATCCACCCAATCCCATCCCCTTCCTCCCCATCAATCACTCCAAAAGCCTCATACCCCACCTCCCCACCAACACACTTAACTAGGATTCGCCCCAAACCCCCTAACAACAACATTATACCCATCCGTATCCATCTTCTGCCCCAGCACAAACCACGCCTTCCTAAACGAATCAGGTCCATTCAAAAACTTCCCCAGGTTCAACTGGCCATTATAATAATCAATGATATCCAGTGCGTAGCTGCCGAGGTAGGCGCATTCCGAGCTGATATCGAAATCGTTCTACAGTGGTAAAGAAAGATGGCAAGCTGGGAGGGAAGGGGCTAAGGGAAGGGAGGGGGGATATGCATCGTTGTAGAGAAGAATGGCATTCAAGCCTACACTTGCGATGATAGCGTAGTCGCGGGCTTTGGCGAAGCAGCGGCACCCTTGGAGGGTGGGGACCAGACCGCGGATTGCGTCGACTTCGGCCCAGGGCCAGTTGTAGGAGCCGATTTGGCTGGCGCAGTAGATTTCTGCCTTTGAGTTTAATGAATTAGCGGATATGACGAGGTTAGGGTGTGAGTTGATGGATTTGAGGTGATGTGTACCTTGTTACGCTCCTTGAGGGTTGGTCCATTTGTGGTGGAGCTGTTGTTGCTAGCGAGGGTTGCAGACATGGCCTCTAATTCAGCCGCAATTGATGGGGTGAGTTGAAGAGCTGTACGAGTAGCGAGGCTGCGGTCGTTTTCTGAGATGAGGGCAATTGGGGTGGCGATGGTCTGTGGATTTGTTGTCAGACATGATAGCATACTTTTGAGGGTTGTTGTGTATGGAGATGTCAGGGTTCAAGACTTACAAGGCTGGTAAGACCCAGGAGGAAGTAAATCACAGCAAAGAACTGCATTTTGAAGTCTGTTCAAGTAACTGTGAGGTGGATCTCTTGGTGTCTAGTGGAAGGATTCTTGTAATGTAGTGTAAAGCCACAGTGTGTTTGTGTTTTGAGAGAGAAAAGTAATAGAAAGAACCAGCGAGAAACACAATATATATACCTCTCAGGTTCTCAGTTACCAAATGTGATTCGCTTGCAAGGTACCCAATGAAAACATATACCGGAATCCACCGTAGCTGTAAATGTGAATATGAACCCATTTGTACTATGTCATAAGCTTCTAAAAAGAGTGGAGTTTCAGATATTCTGTCTTCACTACAGCTACCTTGAAAGATTTAAAGAGGGGGCTAGTATCATAATGGCTATTCCTGCCTAAATGAAATTAAGAACGTCATCAAGGTTATTGCACTGCCATGCGTAGGTCAATTCAAGATATCTTACTTCAAACTATGCAAGACAGATTTTAAAGCATACTTTGCTCCTTTAGCAACAATGGAAATTTGTACACTATAAACTCACTGAGATTTCTAATGTCACTGACTTACTAGCTAGCCATTCTAAATCACCATATCTCCTCCTTATTTCACAAAACAACCCACAAACATCCCCAAACACCATAAAATTCACAACAGGAAGCCAAGAAGTCAACCCAACGTCATCCTATAGCCTCCCTCTCTAACCGACTTTCCAAACCCATCAGCCAACCTTCAAAATCTCTACCAAGCCTCAATGTGTCAACAACCAACCCACATAGGATGAAACAATCGGCTCCCACGTCCATTCCCCAACACCTACATCTTTACTAGTTGCTGGGATCGGCGGAGCCCGATGCTAGATGTTATATTCACTTATTGCTAGCTTCCAAATGAGGTTACAGTTGGTGAACACTGGAAGTGAGTCTTACTATAACTTCTTGCAACGAGAAAGGGAATGAGGGCCGCTGTAGATGTGGAAGACAAGAGACTCCCACTCACCTCCTTCTTAGCTGTCCAGAAACTGGGGATGCTAGGAAAGTACTAAAGCGCAACCTCCTCAAGCATCATATTCGAGAGTTCACCATGAAATCCCTCCTTCACACCGCCAAAGGAGTCGAGGCCACACTTGACTTTATTCGAACCACCAAAATCGCCACTAGAATATGGCACACACAACGCGCAACTGAGGATGAGAACGAAGATGAGGACGAGGAAGACGAGGACGAGGAAGACGAGAACGAGGAAGTGTAGTGTACAGGGCGTGAAACGCGGGGGCGTACTACATCATAACAACTTTTCTTCTGTCATAATCAGAAGCCTAGCTGCTTCCAACAACCCAAGAACTGTATTCACCATAACCCCCTTCTCAAACATGTATTTAGTACAGCTTTATTCATCTGTTGGAGGGAAACCCCCAGCCGTGCTACTATAGTCTCAGACTCACACAGCACGTTAAAAGGAATAATAATAATAATAAGGGAATGAGGGGTACAAAGCGGAGCTTATTTATAGCTACATAACTTCTATGAAGTACCACCCAAGTTAAGTAGGTTGGTTAAGTAAGTAGTTATTTACAATTTCATAAGCTTAAACGCCGTTCAAACGTGGGGTAAGGATTACACTTATAATAGTACTACCCTCATCACAAACCCCTTTCTATGTATATAGGTGTTTACATGCATAATACACGGCCCTCCCTTTGTATAACAACCAAAATTACAAGGCATCAACTAGTACGTTACATAGCCTCTTTCAAGCTCTATATAAACCACGGGGCTATATAACCTTATATCTCACATCTCACATCTTACCCTTATAATAGTGAATTCCCTTACAAGACCTTAACCAGCCCCTTCTTTTGTACCTGTAGCCTTAGGAGAACTATCAACTACCCCTCCAAGCCTCCTTTAGGGATCTAATCGCTATACCTTAGATCTTTACATTCCAAAACAAGCTTTCCAACATCTTTATATTTAACAAGAACCACGCTCTAGAGTAGCTTAATCAGGGGCGTAAGTTATACCCATTAAGTAGTTATATATATAGCAAGACTAGTGAGAATACTTAAATAATAGGAACCATTCTCCAGAATAACTCACCCACGGCCCTATCCTACTTACTAACCACTCATCCATCCAAAACCCTACTACCCATCCTCAAAGACCCGTTATCTCTCTATCAACCCTAACAGTCCCACAATCCCACAATCCCACAATCTCCCCAGAGTACGAAACTATGACAAGCTATAAAACACCTACCTACTCCCTCCCTATCTACCCTAAACCCTAAAACCCCTAATATCCTACTATCCTACCCCTATACTATACTGCAACTAAATTAATAATCCCATTTCACCTAAACGAACAAAAACAAAAAAACAGTTAAACTGACGGTAAACGACAAAAATACCACCTAATTAATCAATAACGACAAAAATGCCACCTAATTAAATTTTTAGCGACAAAAATACCACCTATATACCACTTCACTGGTTTACTAGTAAAATTGTTAGTAAAGTAATGTCCATATCATTAGTAGCATTTTTGTCGTGAAAAGGTAGTATTTTTGTTAGTATCAAGATTTCATTTCTTCGTCAGATTTAATAAGCAAGACACCTAGAAAATAATGAATAAAGTAAATTAGCTAACTACTTGTTACTTCCTAATACCTCGTAGGCCTGCTCTTGTCGATTTTAGTAGTAGTTAAGCCTCGTAATCTTACTCCCTGCCCTACCCTTACTTTTACGTCTAAATCCTAGTTATTAGCCTCAATTACTCATTCCTGAGCAATATCCTCAATTCCTTATACCCGAGCCTCAACTACGTTATCCTAAGTTTCTTGTTGTTGAGCGCTCTCCTTAAGCTTCTTACGGAACAGGTGTTTCTAACTAACTTTATATCTTTAACTTCGTAGCCTCCACTAGAAGGTAGCATATTGTAAACGCTTTAATAAAGGAATCACGCTAGCAAATACGCTAGCAACTCACTATATTTTAGGCTACTAGGATATCTAGAAAGTGGGTATAAATACTACTGTTTTATGATAAAAATGCTACTCGTTCTATGTACATCAAATTTGGATGTAAAACCTGTATCAAAAGATGAGTAGTATACAAGTGGCATTTTTGTCGCCAAAAAATTAATTAGGTGGTATCTTTGTCGTTATAAATTAATTAGGTGGCATTTTTGTCGTTTACCGTATAATTAAGCAACCCCTTTATACTTCATATAACCATCTACTTACACTCTTTTTTTATAATATTTTATTTTATTTAATTCTAAGAGATGTAGGTGTGTGTAGAGTAATAACTATATCTCTTACCAAATGGTAATAACCACCCCAAATAGCCATCCCATTATACCCTACATTCCACCCTACATTCCAACAGATAATTCAACAACCTAACAACCCTACTAGAAATCTAGTCCTCGTAAACCCATTTCATTCCCATCTCCACCCTAAATCAAATCAAACCATCCCTAAACTAAACTAATCTAAAATCAAAGAAAAGTATAATAATCCCCTATATAGTTCTTTCCTTCTCAATTCGGCTTCTCAATTCAGTAATAAGAGAAAGCGCAAGTGCAAGTGTAAGAGTAAGAGCAAGTATGAATATCCCAGCTAGAAGCAACAGATCAACAGATAAAAAGATAGGAAATTTTCATATGGCATATGCCAGATATCACACATTACTATGCACAGACTCCGTACTCCACAGCCCGTACCTAATGTACCAATACACAATCCCATCCACCCATCCAAAGCAAAAGGATCAAGTAAACGCAAAGCTACTATACACATCTCATCTCCCCCTCCTCCCCAACACCAACACCAACCCCCTAAACCCCATGCATCCTACTCCCCGCAACCGCCANCAAGTAAACGCAAAGCTACTATACACATCTCATCTCCCCCTCCTCCCCAACACCAACACCAACCCCCTAAACCCCATGCATCCTACTCCCCGCAACCGCCAACCCATCCGCCCCCTCATTCCCCACATCCCCCTCATGGCCCCTAACCCACGTCAACTTCGTGCTCGCCCCCTCCCCCTCCCTCTTATCCATCCATGCACGGATCTTCATGACCAGATCCTTATTCATGACGGGTGTACCAGTGGAGGTCTTCCAATCGTTCTTGGCCCAGGACTGGTACCACAGCGTCGTGCAGTTGATACCGTAGTTGGAGTCGGAGATGATCTCCAGGGACTGGGTGAGCGGGGAGACCTCGAGGGCGCGGAGGATGGCGGTGAGTTCGGCGCGTTGGTTGGTTTGGGGGGTGCCAGCGAGGGGTTCGGAGATGTTTCTAGAGGTGGTAGGGGAGGTTAGGAAATAGTTAGGAAGGAGGGAATGGGAAAGATGTGAAAAGGGAGGCAAACGAACCGCTCATCCCCTTCTCCAAACCAGACACCTACCCCCGCGACGGCCCCTACCTTCCCATTCCCCCTCGAACTCCCATCCGTCCAAACCTTGACAACACCCTTCTTGTCTACCGTTGACCAGCCCCCTTTGCCCTTCGTAATCACACTTGCACTCCCGGTATCAATTTTCGCCTTTTTACTAGCTCTCTCTCCCGCCTCTCCTTTGAAACTCCCACCCTTACTTGAACCAAAGCTCGAACTTGAACGGGTACCACCACTTCTAACAAACTCCTCAGCCTCACTTCTCGTGTCAAACTTCTTATACTTAGGTCCCTTGACCCCCTCAATCTGTTTCTTTGCGTCGGCCCATTCAACATATACACCTGGTTCATGACCTACTGCCACACCGTAGAAGCGATCGCCTTTGGAATTTTTCATGCCAGAGACAACTTTGCCAGCTGCGAAATCTTGTGCATCCTTTTTACTTGTGAAGGATTTGTCTATTTCGTAGGCATGTATTAGTATAGCTGTAGATCTAGATTTGAGGAAGAGAAGAAAATAGAGTAAAGAAGGAGAGTAGGACATACAATTCGCTCCCTTGAACCCCGTAATCATTTCCTGACACTCGTTCCACGTCTCATAGACACCTGGCGTATGACCCGCTCTCACAGCATAAAACTTCTGCTCCTTCTCCACCGTTGACATCTTGCGTTTCTTATTCATTCTTGCGGCCAGTAGTGACGAACTTGTGAGGTACGAGTCGAGAAGGTACGAGCCCTTAAACCGAATTCTTCCCCGATAATATCTCTTCCGAATTCTCTTTCTTGGAATTGCTCTGCTTGAATTCCGTAAATTCGAAGGTTTCTCTCTATCCGAGAAGGTAGTCGCAGTCGGAGACACAGAACTTCTTTGTTCCCCTCCAAACGCCTCAACCCCCTTTCCTTCCTGGTCCCCTTTCAGCCCTTTCAAATACAAAGAACCAATTCCTCTCCCTAATTGAGAGCGCGAAAGGAACTCTGATGTCCTCTTCCGTTTACTGATGTCTCTCGAGGTGTGTGGGTATCTCGCTCTAGTCTTCTCAGTCAGTCAGTTGCAGTCGTAATCCAGATCTGAATCCCAATCTCAGTTTCAATCCCAATCTCAATCCCAACCCCAATTCCAATCCCAACCCCAATTCCAATCCCCATCAAACACCAAAGACAGAAACCAGTGGTGCTTGGTCTCTTTGTTCATCCACCTGCATCCAGCCCCCCTCTGGGAATGTCCAATTCCAAACCCCCACCCTATCCATACCCCTCAGATAAAAAGAAAACCCCAATCACAAACTCTCCCCCTTCCCTCTCCCCCCGCCAAAAGAAAAAAAGAAAACTCACAAACTCACAAACTCACCAACTTCCCAGATCTAATCCCAATCCCCAACAACACTCTCCTTTCCAACATCCGAAACTTTGCGCAAACCGCAAAAGAACGGCGCATTCACTTCCCTCCCCACGCAGCTACCCAAGAAATCGCAATTCCGATCAGGATCAGGGTACTCTATGAGTCTAGGCGATATGGTATAGAACAGGACAGAACAGGACAGCACGATCGCGGACTGGTGCGTCCAATTGATGTAGATGTACCGTTTCCAAATGAGTTGTACTGGGTTGGGGTGGTCTGATGGGTTTGCGACAGGATGTGATGGATGCGATGAAGTCCAGCCGCGGCCGCGGTTCCTTGGCAAACCCGACCCCCACGGTCATGAAGTTACGTTTCAGCATTGACAGACGCGTCGTTCTAATAAAATAGATTTATTCACTGGGCGTAGTTCATTAATCTACCTAGGAAGACATCCCCCCTAAATCCCCAACTCACATCCAAGAAACATCACCAATCAAAGCTATAGCATTCGTATGTTCATAAAGTTGTATTTCATAATCGCTGGTTACATTGACCCAATAATCTCAGTTGTCGAGAATGAGTAAGTAGTAACAAGCGCTTTCTCCTATACTACATCCATCCATCGTCCATCCATTCATTCATCTCATAGCGCTCCAATTCCTGCTACCAGTATGCATCGCTCCCGTCGCTTGCTTCTTGTGCTCAGCCATCACAAATATTCCCATCCTGGAAAAAGTGCATCATCAGGGTATCCGCACACTCCGTATTCAGCCTGCCTCCTGTATCACAAATCGAATACCCCTTCCCTCCCAAATTTAAGAAAAACGCCAAAAACAGATCCATATTCCCAAACCTATGCCGAAAACCCCTGCCACCTCCCAATCGTACGCCACCCGCCCTCAGAGAGCAAAAAAAAAACACGTAACTCGGTACAGAAAATAAAGTGGTTCAAAGTTCAGTAGACACCATAGATTCAAATGCAACCAGCCCCACCCTCGCTATGCAAATGTGTCGTTGTGTCCATCCCAAACTCCTACAAAAAATGACAAAAGCACCAACCCTCATAACAAAACGCCGCCCAGCCGCCCTTGTTCCCATGTGAAGAAAAGAAAAGGAAAGAAAAAGATAAACAAAAACACACCAGCCGGATTCTTCTCAGTACGAGATATGACAAGTTTTGTAAGTCCGACTCGCTCCCCAACATCAATCATCGATTGTATTAGCGGCCAAGGTGTGCAAGGTCCGAGAAAATCGATCGAAAAAACGGTTTGTTGGGTATTGCGGTCCCGGGGAATGAAACTTTGTATGTGTCGTGAAGAGCTCAAAACGAAGTGTATTTTTGCCGATCGGCATGAAATCTTTGGAAAAAGTTATACCATCATCGTGATGTAGTAACTGAAGTATTTATTTTGATATATTCGTGAGATGAGTGAGCAGGAACCGTTCGTAGTCGTACACTGCAGGTATATGGTAAAAATGAAGCTTTGAAAATGCTTCATTGAATATGAAGTTGTGTGATTTTGGTGGCCAGCAAAATCCGAAGAAGGGGTGAGTGGAGTGTCTGCCGGAGAAAAGAATATATCGAAGCCAGCCGAAATTTAGTTGCCTTTGACTACCTCCTTTTGAGGCTTGTAGTCAATCAACTCATCAAACCAGAACTCCTCCTCGTTGTATCGATAAGCATGGAAATCAATACCATAAGGCTTTGGTTCGATGGAGAAAAGAAGACCAAGTGGAACATCTAGGTCTGCAATGTCGTCTCGGGAAAGGTCCATGAAGTAGGCCATGAGAACGCGTGCAACAGAACGGTGTCCAACAATAAGAACATGGTCCTTGATTCGTTCCAACTCTCTGACCATATCCCGAAGTCTGCTGATGACTTGGAGGTAGCCTTCGCCGCCAACTCCGGGATAGATGTAGTTGAGCTTATCCTTTGCTCGCTTGGCGTACTCGTCGGGAAATTGAGCTCGGATGGACTCATAAGTCATGCCCTCAAATTTACCAGCATGGATCTCATTGAGCATCTCCCAATTCTTGACATCGTATTGCTCGTCATCCTCAAAATCCTGTGCGGTTTCGATGCTTCGCTTCAACATTGAGGTCCAGACACAAAAGTTCTTGGAATCCAATTCGCCGAGCAACTCGGGATAAGGAGGAGTTCGATCTCCTGGTTTTGGATACTCGGTCTCATTTGCAGCAATGATACGGTTCTTTTGATCAACCTCCCATTCCTTCTTCTTCTTGCTGATGAAATTGTAGAGAACGGTTCCGTAGTTGCGTCCTTCAATTGTAAGAGACGAATCACCACCCAATTTGCCACAATAGTTATCCATTGACTGGCCGTGACGAGTAATCCAAATCTGTCTTGGAGAAAGATTAAAAGTCGACAAGTAAGATGCGATTCCACTAGTCAAGAAACCTGAAAGTTGGTGATGAATCACTTTTCTTCCGACGTCAATCATCTTGATGTACTGCATATTTCGATCCTCTTCGTATTGACCGAGAGGAACATATGCACTTTCGTAAGCTGCCACACGCTTCTTGAAATCTGCGAGTGAGCTTTCGGGATCCTTGTCCTTGTAGTCGGGACCGCCAAGCTTAAGGCGCATATTGGCTTCCAGAAGCTATGAAAAATTAGCAATGAAGAAATAATGAATGCGGAATTCGTGCTTACCTTTTGATCCTCACAAACACTCTCGATGAAGAGAATTCCAAGCTTAGGCTCTCGCTGCTTGACACGGTCAAACAGAACTTGACGACGCTCAAGTGTGCTATTGGTCGCATCCAAAATACCAACGGATCCACCCTTATTGAGAAGGAAATCCAAAACTTCGTCCAGGGTTGCCAGGGCCACTTCCTCACGCAATTGAGCAGCCTTCTTGTTTTTGGGATCGAAGAACTGAGCAGATTGGTCCATTCCCTCTGCACTAGGAAGCTTCATCAAGTTATTGTATTCTTGTTTTGGATCAAGTCCATTGAGAAGGATATGGGCAGCTTGTGTGGGTGCATCCATGATAGCTGTGATGGAAGCGCTCGAAGCAACTCTTTCTGGTGAGCCAGGTGGAGAGCTTGCTGGTGTGCCATTCGGTCCCTGAGCACCTGCTGCAACACGTCTACGGTTTCCAACATTGAAAATCTTGGTTTCGTGTTGTTGCCAGGAAAGATATCGCTGGATCTTCTTGGTAATATACGACTTTCCCCGAGCTGGAAGTCCAACCATAATGACTACCAACTTTGCGCCTACATCTCGTTGTGCAATCTTGCCATCGGGTGATACTCGAGATCTCGTAAGGCCGGGGATATTGAGAGTGGTGGCCGGGGGTCGTACGCGGGGAGTTACTGTTCCCGAATTTTGTCGAACTGGGTAACTATTGCAAGTTAATATCATACTTATTTTGGGACGTGGAATTGAGGGGTAGCTAAGAGGGGCGGGTGAAAGGGGTTGGAAAGTCTGCAGATTGACAAGGCAAAATCACAATATTAACTTACATTCGTGGGCTGCTAGGTGCAGTAGATGGTGCACTAGGCATAGGAGTATCACTCAAAGGGTGTCCTACACCATTCTGGAGACCTGAACTGATCATTCCGACTGCACTCAAGGCGTGGCTTACAGATCGGGGAGGCGCAAGGTGATTGTCGGCAATTGCGGGTTTTGGAAGAGGAGCAAAGGGAAGAGGTTTCTTGAATTTTGACTCTTCATTTTCCTCGAGAGCAAGAGGAGGGGGAGTGGAAGTTGGAGTGGTAAAAGAGGTGGATGTTGGAGGGTGGGTCGGCATTCTCGTCAGGGCCAAAGAATGAGTGCTGAGGATGGCTTTGGATATTGCAACTTTCGCAATCTCCGAATGCTGTGTTTGGCCGCCGTATTTGACTGATCCGGGAATCACTTGTTAGCTGTCGGTGTTTCTTGACGAGTTTTTTTGTGATTGCGGTGGCAAAGGTGGAGAGATGGGAATACTCACAGGTGGTGGTCTTCGGGCGCTCACCAGTTGGAATGGTTGAAAGCATGGCAGAAGCACAAAAAATGTGGTTCCGCAGGAGGGCAATGGTACGTGATTGTACCAGGTAATGCAAGAAGCTTGATCGCCGGGGTCGGTGGTTGGTGGTCGGCTTTTGATAGGGAACTTGGCCCGAGAGCGAGCTGCTGTGCGATGATGACTCTTCTTTTCTTTTTCTCAACCTCAACCAAAGGGTTTTGGCCAGGCGAAGAAATTCTGTATGTTGCAGAGAGAGTTGAGCGTATGCGATTGAATATGGCTAGAGTGTCTCGGTGTGGGTGGTGATTTGTTTGTGGTGTAGATCGAAGGGTTTGTGGGAGGGCANAGAGTTGAGCGTATGCGATTGAATATGGCTAGAGTGTCTCGGTGTGGGTGGTGATTTGTTTGTGGTGTAGATCGAAGGGTTTGTGGGAGGGCAGTGTGGGGGAGAGCGGTCGGTCTTAAAAAGTGGTTGAATGCCTCCAGGGCAAAGCTAGGCACTTCTTAGTCTCCGGCGGCCGCAGCGCAAGGCTGACGTTGGGGACCCTGTGGTAGGGATTCGCCAGCCTACGAAACAGTGGTGATGTGGTGCGTGGAGGGGCGATTGGGGATGGTTCAATGGGTGAACGCTGGGGGCAATGGCCTGGGAGGTGTGCCTAACTTGGGAGGGGTCAGGGTCTAGCAGCTAGCTAACTCTCCAGATTGCTGGTAGCTCAAACCTAAAAGACTGGAGGAACACCGAGGTCCTATGACGCAGTTTTCTGATAAGAGCGTTGACTGTCTGGTGCAGGTGAATCACTGCTGGGAGGTGAGTACCTATAGGTACTCACCCCACTATGGAGTTTATTACGTGTGTATCTTCAAGTGCCTGTAAAGTTCTTTTGCCATTACAGGTGGGATTATTGCGGGTATACAAGAATTAGCGGATAGAAGAATTGAATGATTACTATACATTCCCTCATGGCACATTAATTCTTCTTAGCTAAGAGCTTAGTTCAGAGCTAAGGGTCAAGCCGTGAGTTAGTTAAGAAATGCTCGTACTAAAAAAAAGAGCTCTATGCAACCAAAAAAAGAAAAAAAGTCTTAGCCTTCTTTGCTGCAAAGCACCCAAGTCAAGCAAACCTTCTTTTGTTCCAGTCTCGGTCCAGACCTCGCTTGAGACGAGACTTGAGTTGCCCGCTGGAAGCTTGGAAGGGGCCCGGGGAATGGGAAAGGGAAAGAGAATCAATTGGAATCATCAATGGGTCGAGCCTGCCCTGAGACCTGAAATGCACCTGCATCACGTGATGCGAACCCTTTCCTTTCCTTGCCTGTCTCAGGCCTGGAGGAAGTCCGCCCTGCCCAGTAGCAACACAGCCCAGGTGAGCCTACGAGATCCCGCCAAGCCTGAATTCAGAGTACGTACTAGCAACTCTCGCATTGGTAGCTAGCCAGCCAGCATTCAATATCCATACCTCTCCAGGTAGTCTATCCATCACCTCTCCCTCCACAAAGGATACCTACTGTATACCTGTACCATAGGATCCTCTTTGCTCTCCAAACGCCTCTTCATCCGTCATGCCAGCTCCTCCCAAGCAACGTAAGATAGCCATTGTCGGTAGTCGATCAGTCGGTAAGTTGGGATGGTGATGCTATTGCATGTGTTGTAGGGAAAGTGGCGGTCGCCGTTCATAATCAAAAGAAGGGGATGGGGAAAGGGAAAGGGAAAGCGAAAGCGAAGGCCTTCTTATCTTTCCACCTCCCATCTCCCACCTTCCACCCAATATCTTCACATCTTCACATCCTCACATCTACACATCCTCACCACTGCACCGCCGCCTCTAATTTCTCTCATAGGGAAATCTTCACTCACCGTTCGCTTTGTCGACGGGCATTTCGTAGAGAGCTACTACCCCACCATCGAAAACACCTTTAGCAAGGTCATCAAGCACAAGGGGCAGGAATATGCCACGGAGATCATCGACACCGCGGGGCAGGTGGGACACTTTTATTCCGAACTCTGATCACTTTCCCATTTGCCATCCATCAAATCCATGGATGCGCACCAAGCACTTCTTGTCACATGGCGCCACCACATCCTCCTTCCCCCAACCAGAGGCGCGTGGCACAAGAACGTGGAAACCCCACGCTGACTACCTGAATAGGACGAGTACAGCATTCTGAATTCCAAGCACTTCATTGGGATTCATGGCTACATGCTGGTCTATTCCGTTGCCTCGGTTCAGTCCTTTGAGATGATTGAGGTCATCAGAGATAAAATTCTCAACCACTTGGTAGGACTGCTTACCTAACTTGATACATCTTTCAAACTCTGATATCTTCAGGGCTCGGAATGGGTGCCAATCGTCATTGTTGGTAACAAGAGTGATCTACGGCCAGAGCAACGTCAAGTCACGGCAGAAGATGGAAAGCAACTCGCCGAATCCTTCAATTGTGCATGGACGGAAGCCAGTGCCAGATACGATGAAAATGTCACCAAGGCCTTTGAGTTGATGGTGGCACAGGTGGAGAAGTCGCAGAATCCTAATGAGCCAACAGGTGGGAACAAGTGTTTGCTTATGTGAATATGAGAGGTTGGTTATACGTTGAAACCCCTAGGGAGGATTGGCTTTTGTGAGTTCATGATTTGTTATACGACGGGCATTGCATAATCTTTTTGGTTGGCAGGCGATGCTTCCACGTTCTGGCGTTTGGTAGAGGTTTCCGATATTGCTTGGGCGTTTAACTCAAAGAGCATGGTATGATTCTGTGGGCAAATACAATTGGATTAAAACTATACAGTAGTTTCTTCAGTTGAGGTTCAAAGGGAAGTGTTCTGGTTGAAATATATGGATATATACGAGTACTACCTACCTACTCTCTCCCCCCAACTATTAGAGATTAACCGTGGACTTAATGTTTTGCGGGCGCATGGTAGTTCCGCCATATAAACTTTACTGCATAAAGCTGTCAGAAATAACATTTAAATGGGGGAAGGGGGAGAGCCGGGAGGACCTCGACCTGGAGGTAGAAATAGATCTTTCACGTGACCTGGAACCCCGCGATCCGGACCCCTGCAACCTAATCCGCGATAAACCCCCCACTAGAGAATTGAGTGAGCAATTCCTACCGACGCGCGCGGTCTGAGTCAACAACCTCCCCAGTCAGCTCAATACATATATCCTTTCTCTCTGCATTCTTCGCAGAGTGTATCGCTATCCAAAATGCTCGACATCTTCGACTTCATCGTCGAGAAGGGCGGGAACCCAGAGAAGATCAGGGAGTCACAGAGACGACGACATGCCCCTGTTGAAGCTGTGGATGAAGTGATCGCTTTATATGAGGATCACCGAAAGAGTTGGTCTACTTTGTGTCCATGAACCTCGTTCCACGAGCTAATGATAAACTCTCAGCACAATACAACGTTTCCCAAATCAACACCAAGATCAACGATACCCAAAAACAAATCGGGACCAAGAAGAAGGCCAAGGAGAATGCGGATGATTTGCTAGCACAGAAGATTGAGTTGGAGAAGGAGAAGAAGGCCATGAACGAATCTGCGATTGAGAAGGATAAGCTCTTGAAAGCTAAACTTAGAACCATTGGCAACTTTGTTCATGATTCCGTACCAGTACATAACGATGAGGTAGGCTAGCAATATTAGAAAGGTGACTTGGTATGGATATATGGCTAAGAATCGCAACAGGACTTCAATGCCTTACAACGAGATTGGGCGCCAGAAGGCGTCAAAGTCGAGAAGCGGGAATGTCTTTCACACCACGAGGTTCTCACCAGATTGGACGGTTTCGACCCCGTACGCGGCGCCAAAGTTGTCGGACACCGAGGTTATTTCCTGCGAAAATGGGGTGTATTCTTGAATCAAGCGTTGATCAACTACGGTTTGGAGTTCTTGGATGCCAAGGGATATACACCATTGCAGACACCACAATTTATGTTGAAGGAGTACATGGCAAAGACGGCTCAGTTGGAACAATTCGACGAGGAGTTATACAAGGTTATTGATGGTGATTCACAGAACGACAAATACCTTATTGCTACCTCTGAGCAGCCTATTTCTGCCTTCCATGCGGATGAGTGGTTGGTTGCCAAGGATTTGCCAATCAGATATGCAGGATTCAGTTCCTGCTACAGAAGAGAGGCTGGTTCAGCTGGCAAGGATGCTTGGGGAATTTTCCGTGTCCATCAATTTGAAAAGGTGTGTATTCAATTTCAAAAGTTTTCTCACCAAGCTAATCCCGACCAGATTGAACAATTCATCCTCACCGATCCTGAGAAATCTTGGGAAGCCTTTGATGACATGATTTCCGTTTCAGAAGAATTTTATAAATCCCTAGGCGTCCCATACCGAGTCGTAGCCATCGTCTCGGGTGCTCTCAACAACGCAGCAGCCAAGAAATTCGATCTCGAAGCCTGGTTCCCATTCCAAGGCGAGTACAAGGAATTGGTCTCATGCTCAAATTGTACCGATTACCAATCTCGCGCGCTGGAAATCCGATATGGTGCCAAATTGCAGACGGAGATTCGAAAGAAGTATGTTCATGCGCTCAACTCTACGCTTTGTGCTACGGAGCGGGCGCTTTGCTGTTTGTTGGAGAATTTCCAGACTGAGGAGGTATGATTTAAAAGAAATTTCCCTCATACATTATTCCCCTGCTCTTTTTCTTTTGGTTCTTGTTGGGGGGGGTTCGTTGTCGGCTGCAGAAATTATGCTAACCTCTCACTAAAGGGGTTCAACGTGCCAGAGCCACTGAGAAAATACTTACCTGGTGCACCGGAATTCATTCCTTTCACCAAGGAACTACCCAAGAATTCCACCTCGACGACTTGGGGTAAGGAAGGGCAGGGACAAAAGGCGAAGAAGGAAAAGAAGGCTGCACCCGCTGCTGCTGCTCCTGCACCAGCAGCAGCACCTGCGGCTGGTGGTGAGATTGAGGCTACGGAGAAGATCAAGGATTTGAAGGTCTAATCTAGGGTAGAAATGTGGAATGAAGGACATGAGAAGATTGGAGTGGTGTGGCGAAAGAGAGATTTCCCAAAGGGCTTTGTAGCTACTCAAGCTTTCTCGTAGTATTTGGAGGTGAGGGGTGAGAAGATATCAATAAGAAGTGAACAAACAGCCTTTTGGTCTTATAAGATAAGCATTGAGAAGGGGTTATTTTCTTCTTTTTCCCTTGGATTCTGTCTGTGAATTTCGCGGACTGAGTTGCATTGAAATGAGTTGAGCTGATGAAGAGCGATGAAGACCGTTAAGTTGAGTTAAGTTGAAGACTGTTGAAGTGCGGTATTCAGTAGAGTGGAGTACATTACGAAATAGATGTCTCTTATTTGGATAGTAGTAGTATTGTCACCCAGTGGCCACAAGAATTCTTTTGGTTTTGCTGTCATAGATATAGAGAGTAGAGAGGATATCACCATGCTTTTAAACAGCACATAAATAAGTGTCTCATGTAATCTTACACACGCATTCAACCAAAAAAACAAATATATCTTCTTCATAGGCATTTCATTCATTTCATGCGTTTATTTCTTTCTCGTGTAGTAATCAATGTGTTATCATCAATGTGTTATCATCAATGCATCATCATCATTCAATCCCTTCCCTTCCCATCCCATCCCAAAAAAAAACAAAGCTCTTTCCTCATAACCACCCTCGCACCCAAACTCAAGGGTAAAATCCCCTTCAAACCAACACTTCCCATCACACCATCACCATCCCACACACACCACCCCACCCATCTAGATCTAGATATAACTAGCCTTCCACGCCGCATCCACGTTCTCACCCCCCGAGGCTGGCTCACGCTTGATGTATGAAGCTTTCCAGGCGTTGTCGATGCTCTCGCTGCGCTTGATGTAGGAGGCTTTCCAGGCGTTGTCGATGTTCTCGTTGCGTTTGACTGGAAGGTTGGATGTTAGTTGTTTTCTTGAATTGGAATTGAAATTGAAGATTAGAATTTGGAGGTGCGGGAATGATGGTGGGGATGAGGAGGTGAGGAGGTAAAAGAGGTCAAGGGACGTACTATAGGAAGCTTTCCAGGCGTTGTCGATATCCTCACCTCTTTTGATATATGAGGCTTTCCATGCGTTGTCGATGTTCTCGCCGCGCTTGATGTAGGAGGCTTTCCAGGCGTTATCGATGTCTTCGTTTCTCTTGACTTTTCGGGGTGGGGGAGTTAGTTTTTGGGGTTGTTGGAGAGGATAAAAAGAGGGAAGGGAAATGTGAAGGTAAGGTGAGGTGGGAAAGGAGGAGATATGTACTATAGCTGGCTTTCCAGGCGTTGTCGATGTCTTCGTTTCGCTTGACTAAGTGAAGGATTGAAGTCAGTATCACCATATACATCTCCCCTCCGGGTCGAGAATTTTGAGGAAAATGTTGTTTTCTGATTTAGACGAGTTGAGAGGACAGGTCCTATGGGGAGGTTGAGAGGGACGTACTATAACTGGCTTTCCAGGCGTTATCGATATCTTCGCTACGTTTGACTGTAAGAGGTTCAGTCAGTACTTTCATCCTCCCCATTCTATATCCTTCGATTTCAGGAAGTGAGGGGCGGGGAATACACACTATAACTGGCTTTCCAGGCGTTATCGATGTCCTCGCTTCTCTTGACTGAAAAGAAAAACACGAATTAGCAATCTTCCTCCTCGAAATAGGTATCTTTGAGCAAGATTGAATGGGGAAAGGGGGGAGAGAGGTACTGTAGCTTGCTTTCCAGGCGTTATCGATGTCCTCGGCTCGTGCTTCGATTTCTATTTTCATGCGTTAGTTAATTATGATTTTATTTTTTTCATTTTGCGGGATTTTGGGATTGTGTTGGTATGTACCGGATGCGATGGGGGTGTTCAGTCCTGGTGGTGGGGTTAGCTAAAGTTTAGGATGTTGAGGATGTTGAGATGGGATCTATGCTTACCGGTTGGGAAAGCAAGGACTGCGACCACTTGGGTGACTGTGAGGAGGATGCTGGCTCTCATTTTGAAGGCTGGGTTGTTGGATTGGGATTGGGAGTAGAGAAGTGAGGGATGTTGATGATAGTTTTGGGTTTGGTGGGAGGGGGTGGGTTATATACTTGAATCTATGCTTGGGAGACTGACTTCCAGATGGAGAACTTGTGATTTCGGACTTTGGTTTGAGATTCTTTGGTGGCTGGGCGGTGAGTGCGCTTTCAAATTTTCCTCCCTCTCATGCTCTATCTTGTTGTCGTTGAGTGTAATATGCAGTCATCGGTTCAAGAAGTGTTGTTCGGGGGTATGTAGAAATGGGGTATTGTGTTCGAGACACGTCTTCCTGGCTCGTATTCAGATCTTTGGGGTACTGTAGATGAGCATTGTGCTAGCTTTTCCCACTAAGCGGAGAAGGGATTTATGCATCTATCGTCTCTGGTGCGTGTTATTGTGTCAAAACCCTTCTCTTCTGTGATATCATTGGTTGAAAGTTTTGCTGATGCTCAGTGTGTTACTGGCATAAGACTTGCTGATGAAAGATTCATTCGCTTGTGTGGGGATTAACAGGGACTTGGAGGGACCTTCCTAATTTTGAATAGTGCGAACGTTGTAGCTCGAGATTTGCGAGTTTTGGGCTGACTTTTGGGGTTGAAGCTAATGTGTGGCCTGGTCCACAGTTTCTTACAGTAGCTTGAGCCGAGGAGGGTTGTGTGCCACTTCGCTTATGACTAAGATGAGATTAGATTTCGATGTAAGATGTATACTTGCGTTAGCGTATTTATATGTACCCCTGTAGACTATGTTCAAAAGTAAACTAGGTTATAATTTAAGTGACATATGTTTTTTTTACTCTGATCACGCGACCTTCGTTTGCGGTACATTTAGAAATATGGATTGGAACTACCGGTACTCGAGTACGTTGGTTTTGAACAAATACACGCTCGTTACAAGATTAAAAGAGAAAAAAATATATCAAATAGAAACACCCTCCAATCTCCCCATCAACAATCCCCAAACCCCACATTCCCACTGGTAGTAATCCTCTCATCATTCTCCCCCCTCGCCAAAGTAACCAAATACATCAAACAATGCCTCGAATGCTCATACTTCCTCACCAACATATCGCCCCTCCCATCCTCTCTCTCCATCGCCCGATGCACCCGCAACATCATAAACGCACAATGCGTGACATGCTCCCGCTGCGTCGTCCAATACGTTCCATTCTCACCAATGTGGGCGAGTTCGTACGGTGAGCCGATTTCTTGCGTCCCGGCGCGGTCGTACCAGTATTTCCACTTCGTGCCGTTTCCTAGGAAGTCGATGAATTCTGAGGTTCCGTCCCGTGGGCAGTCTGGTGGGAGCCAGGCGACGGAGAGGGGGTCGAATGTGCAGTTTAGGCTTTTGGCTTCGGTGAGGGTGGTTCCGCAGTTGGGTCGGGGGGTTGGGGGTGTGTGGGTTTGGAGGGGGAGTGGTGAGTGGATGAGTTTTGTGCTGGCTGGGTTGTGGGATGAGGAGGGAGGTGAGATAATTTGTTGGAAGGAGATTCCATGAGGCGAGAGAGTTGTCATGATGGCGATTGTGAGGGAAGATGAAAATATGGCTGTTGCTATGACGGTCGCTATAAGGGATATCCATGGTCTTCTTATTTCTTGAGATACTAGGCCGGTTTGTGATGAAGATATTGATTCGTCCTCTAATTTGGCGTAGATGTGTTTTGGGCGCATTGCTGTCATTGTCAGTATTTACACAGTAGAGATTGTATGGATTCATACTGCTATTTCGAAATAAATGTTTAAGAGAATAAATGATAGATCCTTCTTGGGATCGAGAAGGGAAACGTGAGTGCTGTTGTTTTCTTGGTTGCCCAACGAAAGGTTCGTGATTTTCCCAAAGTTCAAAATATGTGTCTAAGAACTCTCACTCTACCCAGAACCCTCTACAGTTGACTCTGTACAGAGATTACCTAGTTCCCATTTACCGTATATTTACCACTTACAGATATCAACATAGCAAATCAGGGGTTCGCTTGATTCTCCTTGATGTCTTGGCAGATATCCCAAAGGCGGAGGAGTACCACAAATTCGAAAACCGGAGAATATTTGGGTCCCTAGTTCCTGCATACACGTTACCTGCATACAGCGCCATCCCAGTCCATGATCATTATGTGAGTTGTTTATGCATATCTCACTTTCTCTAGCAGTTTACGGGGCCAAGACCCCAGGTTCTTACTTATCAGCGGGTGCGGCACAGAAAACTACGCCGCAGCGCTTATTCTCCAGCACGAACTTTGGGCTCTAGCGCTTACCTTGCATGTTTTCGTGATCTAGATTGTGATAGATCTGAGTACAAGGTTCTCTTGTGGCGTTGAGAAAGGTTTGGTCAAGTGTGTTGGGAGACGAGAGGTAGCCAGCCACCTTTTGTCAGAATGGATCATTGTGAGGCGAATTGATGGGGAATTGATGAGAATGATCACAAGTGGTAAGAATTTCTTTGGTACGGATGGAAGCTCACCGCTTGGGAATGAAGGTGGTCATCTTTGCATATAGTATAGTATCATTTTCAGGTCATTTTGCTATTCGGCGGTAAAGCTTGTGCTTTTGTGTCACACTTTGATCATTCAACATAATATCTGGGCGTCAAGATCTACCAGGGTCGAATGGTGCAGTTTTTAGTTCAAAATCCAGTAAATTCTCTACACAGAGTTCCATGAAGATCTTGAACAACTGCCGGCCAGGAGCAAAAGTTCCCGCATTACGAGCCATGGGGGCTGAGATAGATAAGAAATAGATTTAAGCTTGTTTCGGCTGCATGTATACTGTACTTTTTCACACCCGCTGCAGGGACCCCGCATTTGCTCGTAAAACTCCAATTCTTTTTCCTGAGTACCTCTCGGTCAATTGTTTTATTGGGTGAAAAAATCACCTCTCTTGACGTTGAGAAATCTTTCGAGCAGAAGGGCAGGTTTGTGACCAAAGATGGCATTATATGCAGAATTCGACATGTAAAGCTAATCGTAACAAGTAACCAGCTCGTAAAAAGGCTTGGGATGCAGAATTTCCACCTTGTGTTGTCACGCTAATGCGGGCAAAACCCTGCATATAAGGGCTGCAGGACTAGTTTCTGACAGGTAACCAGCTCGTCTGAGCTCTCCACCACATTTTCTTGGGACTGTTGAAGGCCCAGAAGTTCTTCAGGGACCCACCTTAACTGTCGTAACCTGCCGTAAACTGTTATATCTATATCTCACTCACCGGAGATCTTACCCGCTCGTAAAATCTCACTCTCTCGGTGGCGCTTGGTCAGATTCAGCCTCCTGCAGGGACTTACTTTACTTCTCCACATGTGACCTTTGTGCTTCCACTAATCTTGTATTATGGGGGAATAACGACATTTTTTGAATGTGGCATGTTATCTATATTCTTACAGAGGTTCTCAATAATGCACGTTTCTTCTGAAGGTACTACCTTCTGTTTTTAGCCTGACTTGGGTTATCACCGCGTTCTCGCTTAATTTTGTATACAGTACTTGCGTTTCAGCTACTGACTTCACCGCTCATATTCGCATGCTTATGGTGGGTTTTGGGACCATCTCTTTCAAGAGAATGAAAATTCTTCCTCTAGAGGTGGTACTTGGTTTATCGAGTCAGACGGTGAGAACTCTACTTTCGGACGATATGCACGCTTCCAAATCGCCGGCATCTAGAACATTTGATATCTCGTTTTCTCTGGGGTGGGTATTTTCAAATGCCCCTTCTCAATGATGCATGAGATGGACCTCGATATCACGCAAACGTCGTCTAGATTCTATGTTCCTAAAGCGGGGTCGTCAGACGGATGAACATTCTCACTTGAATATTTTTCTGCAGCTGGTACTCTTCCTTTTTTCCAACTCACATTCTATTCCCAACTCCTTCTCACCTTTTTTCATTACACATCTTTGTTCAGAACTCATTCCAACCCATCAAAATGAGTAAGTCCTATGAAGAAGACTATGACAGCCCAACTTCATCTCGCAGTAGCGTGTCCGCAGGCCTCCTCAACTCAGAAGATGTGAATAAAGATTTTCCACTTGTCGCGCCACGGAAGAGATGGATCACACCTGCCAGAGTTCATCTGGCTGCTCTTTACACAATCTTGTTGGTGTTTACACTTCAAGCGTTGAAGACTTGGTTCTCGAAGCCAGTGGACATCTCTTTGGGAAACCTGTACAGTAATTACTCCCCCTGTAAACCACTAGTCTGCTGTTGAGAAGGGGCTAATTGAATGATAGCACCCGCAAAAGAAGTCATCGAATACGAGGAAATAGATTTCACATGGAATTTCTGGGATAAAGGGGAATACATGGGATTTCCCACTGACGAGAAAGATAAGATGTGGTCTGATCTATACAACTGTACGTCCCCTACTTCTCTGATCTCATCCAACAACATCCAACTAACACTCAAAAGTCGGAACATCAGGAATCCCAAACGAAGAAGCAAAGAAACTCCCCTACCCAACCGTCCCCGTCCCAGATGAGCCAGATAAATCACTTGTCATGCTTGACGTATGGCATCAACTCCACTGTCTCAACACCATTCGACGGATGATGTATCCCGAGCGCTGGCCAGAGATCTGGACCAAACACGACGACGGAACAATAAACTACGACACTGTCGAAATGCTACACATCGGTACTTCCCCCTCCCTCTCCCATCCCACTTCGAAATTAATATTGTTCAGACCACTGCATAGACCACATCCGCCAAACCCTCCAATGTTTCAGCGACACCGCACCCACATCATTCTTCTACCACCCAACGAAAGGGAATAACCCCTCCCCTTGGGGCACACATATGTGCAAGAACTTTGATAATCTGAAGGAATGGAGTGTGGAGAGACAGATTGTGCATTTTAGTATGCATGATAAGTTGGGTACGGGGAAGAAACATGATGATTTTGAGATTAAGCCGAAGGGGAGTGGGTATGGGGGGAGTGCGAAGGATGTTGAGGGGTTGAGGTTTGAGGATGTTACGGAGGCGAGGGAGGAGTTGGGGGAGGTGAAGATACATATGTAAGGTACTTGGTATGATTGGGGTAGGCTTAGGGATTTGATAATGCTAGTAGAGGTTTGGTGGTGGAAAGTATAAGGTGTTTTGAGGAATCCATAAGTGACTATATCTTGATGTTGTAAAGTGACGTTGAAATCTGATAGAAGGGTGGGAGTAAGAAGACCTGATATATTAGCTACGTTGCGTATTGTGTATTGCTTAAATCGGTTCTTCCACACCAACTTCAATGTTCTGATATACTCTGAGAAAGTACCCCAAACAACTATTCAAGCCACTCAAACTGCTGTAATCTAAAATACCAGTTCCAAGTAATCTTACATATTCCCTGCTTCTTCAAACCTTGACATAGCTTACAAAATTGGCAGCAAACACGATTACCATTCAATTTATCTAGATTCGAGAACAATTAATCTAGCAAATCTAGTATAACAAATCAATTTTGTTGAAGGAATTACCTAAATATCTAGGGCTATGGTGGCATTGAAAAATGGTACGTATGTGCATTGGAACGTAAGATTGGAAGGAAGACAGTCTAAGCTTAGATAGTGACTGATCACGTCAACTTTCTTCTTGGGTAAAAAGTCGGAAGTTCCCTTATCGTCATTCCGTATTTTTTGAAGTAATAAATCTGAGTAAGGTAGAGGTTTAGATCAATTGCTTTTCGCTTTCTTTGAGCAGGATTATTCGGATCATTGCCTGGATAAGAGAGCTGAGTGAATTATCCAGGATGTATCTTGATTACCCCTCTTCCTTACCTACCAAATATTCCCCTTCCCCTTCCTCCTCCCCTCCCCCCCAAAAAAGCTTCTCACATAAAAAAACCTCCAAAAAAATCCAACTCCCATCTAAAAAGCGCAGAGGACCTAAAACCAGACGATCTGAGTTTTATATTATTTTTTAGCTTATAAGTACTATATGGTCTTACAAGGCTAGTACAATACCTTCGGGCATTTTCGCACCGCTAGACCATTGCAGTTGCCTAGGGTACCACCAACAGGTGTATAATTGGTCGATTTGGTGGAGGGATGGTTATCTTAGGTTATGAATATGTGCAGTGTGCTTTTATTCGAAGGTCAAGGTCCTCCTAATCACGTGGATATTGCTATTCCTTGTACAGAGTAGGTGTTCAGATTGGCAACAGCCAGGGCCATAACAGATATAGATCTTCGTTCCTGTTATTAATCAGAATATTCTTATCGCTACTGTAAGCTCTTATTAATTGTTTGGTAGGGTTTAGTACACTCCAACACCAAACCAAATAACGGTTTCGCTGAGAAAATTCAACGACACAACAGTTATCACTCTCCTTAAAACCACCTGTTACAGTGCATTCGATAATTGTTTAGTTAAATCTCACAGTAGCCTCACTTTTCCTAGTACCATAAGTACCTACTCGTATACTCAAACGCTTTCACTCCTTTAGCTTATAACACAAATCGATCATTGTACCACTGTTTGCACTTTTGTTTGTTTCCTTTACTCGACATTGATAGGTATCTTTATACCAACACTACCATCACCACATTGCATTCCTTGATGTCTCTCTGTTCCTTACAAAAATCAAGCACAAATCTCGCTTAACATTTGCCTATTGCGTCTTACTCGAAATGGAATTCTTTCTGGGATTCTAGTCATTTGTCTCGGACTTTGTTGATCTCCTCCAAACCGATGGACTTCTTGGTATTTTACTTCCTTTATGTAGAGAGAATTCATACTCACTAATGTTTGCTTCAAGGGGTCTTTTCCCGCGGTGGATTGGAGAAGTAGTATTAAATATCTCACGTTTTGTTCTTCTTTATTCCTGGGGTAATTTCTAGTAATTGACTTAGAACTCGGGCTTGCTGACAGGGCTTTGATTTTCTTAGAACATTCGATTGATTTTTCTAGAACTCCGGCAATCACCATCATTCTGTACCGCTCCTCGAGGACCAGAGTGGATATATAAATGTGGATAATGCATGACCCGTTCGGCCCGACAGTCCGGAGATACTGTGAAGTACCGAAAGACCGGGATGCCGGCATTTACTCGGCAAGCCTGGGCGCTCATCCGATACTCTTGGTGCGTCATGACATGGGCGTACTCCGTACTGAGAAATCAAGGTTCCTCAACACCACAGCTACATAGGTATTCAGAAACATCGCCAACTGAGCCATGTCTTTTTTGCATAAACTCGAGGGTGCCCTTGACAAGGGCAAGGCCAAGTTGAAGGAGCTTGCGGATAGTCGGACTGGCCAGCAACCGCAGCAGCACCAGCAACACTACCCTCCCCCACCCCCGCAACTAGGACAACAACCATACTATCCTCCCCAACAACAACAACAATACTATCCTCCTCAGCAACAACAGCCATTCTATAATGCTCCTCCTCCACAGCTACAATCATACCCAGGGGGCCCTCCTCCGGTCCCCTCCTGGAATAAACCCCAACCTCCACAGCCTCCCATTCTCTCATCGACACGGCCTCATCCTCCTCAGATGCAGCCATACTGGCAACCACACTTTGATCCATCGCTCCCTATCTCCACTTATTTCATTCATGAAACCGGATCGCATGGCTGGGGCAACAATGAATCCCAAAACTACACCAACTCTCCCCAAAATTCCTTTTTTGGCCCCTCGCAGTTGATTGTCAGAGGTATCGTCAATACATCAGCCGAGCACGACAAGTATACCTCTGCACGCCTGATTTCTGAGCAGAGATTAGCACGTACATGTGGATTTTTATCTGCCACTCTGCGAGCGCCTTGTGCTCATGGGATTTGGCCCGCCTTCTGGCTCTTACCAGCACAGCCATTTACTTGGCCTAACGATGGCGAGGTTGACATATTTGAAAGTTGGAATGGAGATTGCGTGAACCACTCATGTCTGCACTGGGGGCACTTCAATGGAGAGGACTGGAATAAACATCGAGTCCTTGAAACCCCTATTCATGATATGGCTCACCGAGAAGTGACGATGGGGTTCGCTTGGCAGCAGAATGGAGATCATAACGGTGCAGGTGGAAAGATGGTTTGGTATATCGATGGCAAGGCGATTATGAAAGCTAATATTCCGGAGGGCACAAGAAGGCTGAGCGACTACCGGATCATTATAAATGTGGCCATGGGTGGAAATGTTTGTCAGGGAAAGCTACCCGCTGATGGTACATATGACTTCGTCCTGAGAGACCTTGGGATGTGGGATACACCGCCAGGTGGCTGGGATCAGTTTACAAGAGATTTTGAGGGTACGACGGAAGGCAAGACCATGTGAGTAATCTTATAAAAGCGTGATTTTCAACAGCCGTTGGGGCTTGTCCACTTTGAGCTGGAATGTTACATCAATAAAAGTTGGGCGCAGTTTGCTTTATTTATGGAATCACTTACTCAAGAATTGGGCGCCGGCATATGGGCGATTGATTTCGTGCAGCCTTCTACAAATAGAGTTCTTACATCACAGGCGAAGCACTCTGAGCCTTCCCAGGGGAGCCCGAATACAGAAATAGTAGGTTCGGGCTCTATCTGATTGGAGAACAATTAGCCTGTATGCCTTTGCTGACTCCTCTCGCCATACAACATGGGTATATGGAAGGCTGAACGCATACGTGCGGAACAGCTCGCTGAAGGATGAATACCACCAAAGCGTCTTACTAAGATAAGTTTTGATCTCTTTCTTTCTTTTTGTCATTGATCGCAAAAATTATGTCTGGCCCAATGGCCATATCAAAGTTCAGTTTGAATGGCAAGAGCCGCGAAATCTTGAGTATCACCCCAACCTCAAGCCCATGGTCCCCCTCTACCAGTATCGATTTAGAAAATCAGCATATTAGTTTGCGACAATTCGGAGAGGGGATCATAGAAGCCGTGAAAGCCGTTTTCCCAACCGAAAATAATGCACCGCGATACCTCAAAGCGACAGTTTTGATATTCGTATGGGCAGATGGCCATCCGGACTTGCCTGCCTTGGATAATTTGGACAGGTTATCGCGTGTTTTCCATGATGTGTATAACTTCGAGGTTGAGACGTTCAAAATACCCAAGCAGAATCCACATTCTGAAGTCAATCAAAAGATCCGGAGTTTTGCGAGACAAGGAGAAAATAATAGAGGATATTTGAAGATTGTTTTTTATGCTGGTGGCAGTGGAGTGACGTCGAATGGTGCATTATTGTGGACAAGGTTGGTAATGTCTTTCCCGGTATTTCGGATGAAATCATCTTTTGTCGCTTAAATTTTCTGGAGCTTAGGATATCGTTGCTAATCAACTTTAGTGTGCTAAATTCGGAAGAAAGAGAAACTCCAGGTGAAACTCCAAGGTTGATGTGGAGTGAGATTCAACCTTTCTTGGAACGATCTCAAAACGACGTGTTAATACTACTGGACTGCGATACATCTGGAGGCATTGTTGGGGAAGGAAATGGAGTAACTGAACTAATGTCCGCAGGCGCATTTGACTCGGCGCCTAATACCGGACGATCATGTTCTTTCACGCATGCGTTGGCGACTGGGCTAGAAGCTATGGGCCGATCAAGACGAAACGCTTCGTTTTCGGTTGGAGAACTTTATAGTCATATCTACAAATCAGTCCGGAATAATATGACAGGTGACATAAATGATCGGCATGCATATCCAACGCATCATGTTTTGACACAAGAAATTCCTAGGCGAAGCATACATATTTCGCTTCCTCCCCCGAAGTCTTTGCAACCAACCCACGGTACCTCGGGACATACCAATCGATTTAGCTATATGAGTTCACGAGAGAGTATGCTCAACTCACGTATATCTACCGCCCCTCGAAAATTTGTTGGAGCTGAGGGATCTCCATATCGAGTGCCTACAACCTATGACGGCGAGGTGTCCAGACTTGCATTTGCAATTCGATTGGAAAATAACTCGCAGAATAATCGAATATCTCAGGCTCTGTTTGACGATTGGTTCAAACACGTTCCCCTCTCCGAGAAGCTCAAAGTGGAAGCTGCATTCAACAGTGTCTCTTCGCTGTTGATAATCTCAGTACCAATATCGATTTCAGCATATGTTCCCACGAGTCCGGGAATCATACCGCTAGGCCCCATAAGATCTTCGAATCTTTTGATCACTCCCCTTACTCTCGAATCATCGACCAAACATCAACAAGATAACCCGCTACCAACTATTATCACCTCGCGAGATGAACCAACGTACAACAATTCTCTATTCCAGCCTCCTCCGACACCACAGGATGATTACGAATCGATGTATTCGTCTTCTTTCAGTTCACTTTCTTCGGACATGTTTAACCCTTACTCAGGTTTCAAATCGGATGAGTTTTTAGACCTGGACGATGATCAAACTCAGACTTCGACTATGACATCACACCGCAAATATCAGTACAGCCCTACACTGCCGGAAATCGAACGTTTCGATACAAGCACAGAAGAAAGCACAGTCGGCCTCGGTCTCGAATTCTCCGCGCCAGATAAATCCGAACTATCAGTCAAAGCCTCACAAAAACAACGAAGAACAAAATCTAAAAACTCGCTAAAACCAAAGCTCGGACTCATAAACACTTCCGAGAAGCGACGACGAGAGAACCCAGACGACCTTTACGACCCCCAAGAACTAACATCATGGCTTACATCTCACCTCACCAAGCCACCACCCGAGGATACAGATACAGATGCTCTCCCAGACCTTGAAACTATCGCGCAAGCCTTCACACCACTTCCTAGCATCCAAAAATTCACGGTCGATGAAAGTCGCCTGCAAACTCCGACGTTGTCGTCTTTCCCTCTTGCCCTACCCAGTCCGAGAAGAGCCGTTGAGACCGACGTGTTCAGTCCAGAACGTGCACAGTTCCCCTTGAACTCTTCGCACCCCCTACCTATACCACCAAGTCCATCCGAGATCTTCAAATCCCTCATCAAAACACCGCAAGGTCGTCGTGTGAGCGTCCAGGCTTTTTACGATCCGAGTATGATCCATTATTGGACGTCGCCTGAATTCATTGACGAGTTCGGCTTCCAAACCAGAAAAATCGCTTCGTCGGAGAACGGCACAAGTGAGCATGAGGGCCTGGATGACGGACCAGGGTATGATCTCAGAACGGGCGTTTTGATGCCCGAGTATACTGTTGAGATCCAGTGTAAGATCCTGGTTAATGGGCGTGAGGCGTGGGGAAACGTCGTTTTTAATGTTTGTCACCTTGTGGAGGGTTCTTGTTTGGTTTTTGGCAGGGGCTTTGAGAGTGCCGGCGTGGAGGTTTTTATGATGAGTGGGTGGTAGGGTAGGGGAAGAAAATCTTTGCGAGGCGGGAACTGCGAGATGAGATGATGGGTAGTATTCTTTTATTGTGTTGTGGGCTTTTTTGGGATTTGGAGTCGGGGAATTTATGAGGGGATTCTGGCTGGGATGTCCAGATTATGGGTTATTGAGTTATGAGATATGTGATATGGAGTTTGGATTTGGATTTGGGGTTGGGGAAGGATGGGATGGTAACTTAGGAGGAAAGATGGTGGTGTTTTATGGGAATACCCGTAGAGATGAATTATTATGATGTTGAAATTTAAGACTAGCTGTTCGAAAAAGTTCATTGCAAATTTTCACCCAAACATCTTGGTACTAGATCTGCATTTTAGTGAGGCTTTGGGTAGTATTGACTTTAAAATGATCTACGGATACAACATCTTCATCTTCTTTGTAATGCCATGGGTATCTCTTCCGTATGGAGTTAAGACGTACGCAGCTCAGATAGCTGCATACCGTATGATGACGTGTTTCGATGATTCCATGTGATAAAGTGTTCCATCTTGGCCAATGGTTAATTTTCCTTGAAATGGTCCCGCAAAGTTTTTTCCTGGTGGCAGGCTTATAACTTTTGACAGCAATACAAAATTCGACAGAAAACCTTTCAAATACCCCGAACACGCGCATGCAACTTACGACCTTGCGGCTCCAGTATAGATGAAAGAAAGGCTGCAAGCACTCTTTGGAACTCACCTGTCTGTCGTTGACGGAAAAGGTGTTACGGTGTGTAGTGCAGTGGGACAACTTGTGTTTGTTGGTTCTTCGACTTGCGCGCACGATGAGGGGTCTTGTTCGTTGTCTGAAGCGTGGAGAATAAATAGTGGATTTTTTGGAGCTTTATTCTGCTAGGCGGGGTTTGGTTATATTTGAGGGTCTTTGAGGGGGGGAGGGGTAAAATGGATGCTGGGATGGGTTTTGAGGGGGTTTGTGGTTTTTGGGGTATGAGTTGAGTTTTTGTTTTTGAGGAGGACTTCTGGGTTGCTATTGTAAATGCTGGAATCCTACGTAACAGTCCTGTTCCATGCTGTAAAAACCACTCATTCGATCCTGAGTACCGGAATTCATGGAACCATGAAATTGGTAAGGAGATAGGAACAGACCTGGTAATGGAGGAGGGGAGTTCTAAGGTTCTGAAAGGACTAATGGCTTACATAAATACCTACTCAAAATTCGCTACGACAACTCAAACAAGTTACAACTCCTCATAGCGTTCCAATACCATTACCTATTCTTTATCAGAAGACTTTTGCAAATTCTCCCATAGAGAAGAGACTTTGAGGTACATGCAGGCCCTAACACGCATGATAAGCGAACTATGATTTAAATGATGATTACAAATCTTGTGCTGGCATGTATGTATATGTACGTATGTGGAAAATAGTTCTTGTGTGTCATGTTGATACTGTAATTTGTTGAGAGGAAGAGATGTCACTGCTAGTCGAGTATTGGTATCTATCTACTATTTTGTTATACTTTACATTCAAAGGATTGGTCCCCGGATATTCTCGCTGTCAGCTCTCAGTGGTCACTGGTATATATTACGATCTCCGGAATGAGAGGATTTGTTCTACATGGAAAGCTAATAAATAACATTGCTGCTCATGGCAGCTCTGAATTCAGATCAGTTCAGCAACCAGATGAGTTGACTTCCAGCCCGCATTTCATCGCGAAGAATTTTAGGTTTAGGAGTGCCACGAAGCTTCGAAGCCTCTCCTCAATTGTTATACCCATTAAAATCTGCCGTAGAGCTTTTGCTGTCGAATATTTTCCTTCTGTCGATTTATAATCTTACGCATTCGTGTCTTCTCCTTCTTGGTCACGCCAGCTTGAGATGGGAATATAGGTACCTACTAGAGATAGGGAGTCTTGAGTGTAAGTCTACTTAGCTATTATCTGCTGAAATAAATACCCTGGTTCCTGGAATAGCGGAGTTTGCAGCCTTTTTTTAGGATTGGTTACTAGAGCCTAGAGATCCCCAAAGTGATTCTTATAAAGGCATAGGCAGCATATCATGTGAGCGACCGGATGTCAAAGACTGCGGGTATGACTTAGTATGTAACAAATTTCTTACTATAGCGTTTCGAGAGGTATATGAGATTTTTTACTTAGAGATTTTAGCCGCGCATTTTGTGGAATTTAAATTTAGGGGTGAAGACTTCGTGTTTGGCTGCGGTTTCAACGCGTTGGAAATAATATAGATCTTCGTCTCTGGCATCATTATAGATTGAAGGATACATAGGACTTTCCGTATTGCAATAGACTATAAAACCCATAATCCAAAAAAGGCATTGGGAAAAAGGAAACATAGTAGAGCTCTAAGCCAGCTCGCGACATTCACTACTTTCACACAACTCCATCCACCCATTTCACCACCCACAACACACCACCACCCAACATCTCCTTTCCCTCCCTCTCTTTCCCCCAAAAACCCACAAAAGATATAACACCAAGCTTCAAACCAGCAAAAACTCTAGTCATCGCAATGGGAAGTGTCGCTCTGGACTCGATCTAGAGAAATCCACCCCTCATACTATGATTTCTTAGGAAATAGCTTTCCGTGTGCTTGTCGCATATGGTTTCAATTCACATTACACACTCTAACTGACCTGACGAGGTGGATAGCATCAGGTTTTCGTGGCAAGGAAGGTAGTTTTTGATGTTATTAGGATTTCTTGGGGTTTGTGGGGGATAAGCGAGGGGGTTGAGATATTATGGGTGTGTTTGCTCGGGCTATGCTATGGGGTGGGTACGGGGGGAAAGGTGGGGAGGGGGTGAGTGGATGGGATGGGATGTATAGTACATACAGTTATTGTGAGGCTTTAGACCCCTACTATCTAGGGGTCTTTATAGAGATAAGATGATTAGCATAAAATTAATACAATTCAAACAATCCCGGAGAACTCTTCTCAAAACCTTAACGTTGATTTCAAAACCCACCTCCCTATTACTTCTATATCCAGGAAATCCAGTTCACCAATCAGCTCCAGCGTACTAACCACAGCTCTTATTTGACTCTCTCAACCCCCCTTGAATAGAAGATGGAACTCTCTTCAGATCAGATTAATATGTAAATGGCTTACCTGGGTACTCCCTGCAAGTTGAGCAGGACTTTTATAGCAAGCAGTCTTCTTATCGGGGACTGATATCATGACAGATTGTATTAGTATTACACTGTCATTCAGCGTATGCTAACGATTCTTTAATATTGTTTGTGCCAAGTCTTTGTAATAACACCTTGGTTTCACATACCCACTGTTATGGTCCTTACTGTTGCAAAATTTTGCTCCCGAAAGAAAGAGTAGAAAAGATGTGAAGCACAGCGAGGATGTGTTGTTAGCAACCATCCCACTCCCATACTTACCCTAGCAATCAATTCTTTCGCTTTACGCTTTCTACATGAAAAACATATATATCACAATCAACAACCCATCTGCTGTCGAATAAACCCTTGCTCTCAAAAACAATAGCGTATTTAAATAATTCCCACAGCCCACCACGCACCAAAGAAGCCAATCCATCCCATCCGCCTTAACAACCCCCCCAACCCCCCCCAGGGATCTGAACCCAACTCTCTTCTCTACCACACTCATACTCACGCTTATACCAGTGTCCTTTCAGCGACCAAAGCTCATACGTATCGTCATTTCCCTCTATAATTCCCGAATGCCTTGGTTAACGTACTCCAAGCTAAATAATCTTACAGACATCCCATTCTCACGGCGTCTCGATGGCTACATACGTCGTTCATTTTATATATACAGTACTAACGATTAAGTCTGAGCCATTTGCACTTTTTACACTAAAACTCGGCATAATCAAGTGTATAAAAAACCTAAAAGGCGAGTAGGAAATATCAAATCATTTATAAAATCCCTTTATCTTAAAGTTTCCGTCCTTTCTGTCTCTTCCGATTTTGTTAGATAATATAGGGCATTAAATAAAAAGCTTATAAAGTTGTCCCTTTTTCGAAAAGTCGTATTTTACACCAAATTCGGCCTAGATTCGGCATAAAATTTAGCATGTCTAGAAGATCACGATATATACTAATAAAGACCTTATATATAGCTTAATACACCTATATAAAATTACTAAGAAGGTACACAACTATAAGTACCTAGGAGGAATAATAGTTTTATCTAAAGTCTATATACTTATAAGCAATTAAAAACTAGGCAAATCGTCGATTTTTGGTGGGGTTCGGCTAAATGGCTCAGACTTAATCGCACCGACTGTATATCCCCACCTTTCTGTCCTGGAATCTTTTCCTAGACGAGTTTGTTAAGATACTTCAAATAGAATAGGGAGATAGAAATAATGATATAAAGTAGAGTAGAATCTTGAAGCTGAACGACGATTATCCCTCCACTCTACTGGAGAGCCGTGTCATGAGAATGTCTAGGTTTATAGTTACTCTATCCTTCGATCAGATGTAAATACGAGCACTGTAGTAAGAGGATATTACAGTAGGTGTAGACTACCGTAATATTCGATGAGCAGTAAAAGTAGACTTCTTCCCCCAGCCAGACGGGAGCGCTGTAAAAATGATACAGTACATGCCACAAATATATATATCACTACAGTAAACAAGTTCCATGAGAATCAAAAAGGGGTTTGAATCAGAAGACCGCAAGGTACGTGTCACGTATTGCGTTTTTGGTATTGCGTATAGCCAGCCTATCACGTTTCTATGGAAATACCTGATACCTGGTAGGGACCCAGGTGTAAATGTGTCCCATTTATCCCCAAGCCATCCCATCCCATTCCATCTAATACCTTCAAACAACCCATCCTATCCCTCTCCACCTTCCATCCACCACCCACCACCCCTCACATAAGAGATCCAACCTCGACTACAGGGGCGAGAAAGGAAGGAAGAAAAACCCCCCTGTTCTCGCTAAAAATACACTCAGAAAGAAGCATAGCTCAATCATCCCTCGTACACATATCATCGCAACTCATGAAAACGAAAATAAAGAGCGCCCAAACACCTCCTGCCATATCCAGATATATCGAAAAAAAAAAAGAAGAAAAAAATCCACCACTCGCCAAAATAAGATTCATCACATAACAACACAATCCCTCTCCCTTCTCACTTCCCCCTGCGACTGCACCTGCGGGGCCACCGACCCAGCAGTGCCCCTTCGTCCTCGACCCATAGCTTGTGGCCCACCTCTACCCGCCGTAGGACTCTGATGATTGGTTCCAGTACTAGTTCTCCTACCGGTATTGGGAGGACGAATAGGTCGAGCTCCCGGTCTTGGAGGGGCATATTGTGGATGTCCAGCGCCTGGCGTATACGCAGGTTGCGTAGCAGCATGCTCATAACTTGGGGGCGGGGCATCGATGTCACCTTCGGGGTCGGTAGAAGGCGGGGGTGCAGCGTTGTTACGACGTGGTGGGATGAGAGGTCTAATGTCTGATGCTGTTGAGGGTGTGGTTCCTCGTCCTGCGCTGCTTGCACGACCGCTTGACCCTCTTCCTCTACCTCCGTCTACTGAGCCACGATTGCGAACTGAACCTCGACCGCCACCTCTTCCACCTCCTCCTCCCTGAAAGACTGGTACATTCCCTTGGTTAGATTGCTCAATATATTGTTGTGATAATTCCGATTCTCGTCTTCTCCGAGCTTGTTCTTGTTCATGACGTTGTTCTTCTTCCTCTTGTAGTTGTAGAGCCAGAGCAAGGTCGTGATCTTCTTGCTCGGTGTTGGGACTGGGAGGTGCATCCGAATTCGAATTACGAAGATTGGAACCAGAGCTAGGTGTCTGCAAATGACCGGATGAGGTTTGTATCGCTGATGATCGTTTATCCGGTACTGAATTCCAATTATCACCAGACTCGTGAGCTGTAGCTTGTGATGGCGTCGGAGGTGCTCCACCAACAAGTCTAAAGTCACCCGAGAAGAATTCTGCATTTTCTCCATTGACATCGATCAACGATTCCCAAACTACCTCTTCATGACCAGCATATCCCATGTCAGTAACGAGCTGGAGCAATTGTAACGTTTGTGGATGACGATATAAAGTGCTGAAATGATCATTACGGAAGAGAATCGCAACAGCCCCAGGAGCCACAGAACCTGTGATGGTATTTAGTCCGAACTTGGTGAGTTGTGTAGGGTTACTAGTAAAGAATGCTTTGATGGTGGCGATATCCTCGAGTGTTGCTTGCTCCTCAAAACTCAACCCTTCACGATGCAACTTTTCCTCTAAGACTTCCTCATTAAACATTAAGTTTTGAGAGTCTTCATAAGATTTGGCAGATCGAGCGAGTGCTCTATATGCTGGGGAGTCTCGTTCTGGAAGCCACCCATGTATTAAAGGAATAGAAAACGTGCTGTAAAGCTTCATCTCTCTGGTCTCCTCAAATGTTCCAGGTAGGCTTTCCTCTCGCGTGCTTGGATGCACATGTGACATGGATCTCCGAGGATCAATGGAAGATTTTGTAGGTGCAGGTGGAAAGAACCGAGGATTTACGTTCATCCCGGTATGTAGTGTGATGAGGAATGAATATAAATCACTCACGTCAGGCAGTTCCTGAGCTGCATCACCACGCCGACCGGACATCAGCTCGTCAAATACAGCATCCAGCAATAAGCCTAAGCTTACTTGCTCGCGAGAACGAAGTGTTTCTACAAGTGCTGTCTTAACATTGGCAGGTGTGGACAAAGTGAGAGCATTGACAAGAGCTAGAAGAGGACATGGTCCATTGGCATTCTGTACTAATATAGGAGAAATTCGAGGATTGTGCTCAGCGTCAACGTCATGCCAAGTTATCTTTTTGATTTCGTAGGTTTCCTTCTTTTGTCTCTGAACAGCGGATGTAGGGGGTGCATCCGCGGCGACTGAAGATGCACTTGGTGCTTCGGTGATTATTGTCGGTCTTTGGGGTTGCTCAGAAGAAAGCTGTTGTTGTGATGGCTGATCTTCGAGTTGAATAAGTGGTTCCTCTGATCTTCTCGCAGGAAGAACTGGCGCATGGTCCTGCGTCTTTTGGTATGATGGTAGAGGTGGATTATCATCTGCGGCTATTATACCACTTTCTTGTGCACCAGTTGCAGTAACACCATGATCTACAATATCCCAGCCTTCGGCAGACTGAGATTGTTCATCTTGAATTTCCGATCTACTCGAGGTAGCGTGCTCTTGTTTTGCGCTATGCCCCTCATCATCATCCCACGCATGCTGATCTTCTAATAACTGCTTCGACTCTTTTCGGTTGTCCACGGGCATTTCATGGATCACCGGAGAGGGTTCATCTTCATCCCAAGCAGGGGAATCGGGCTCATCTATATCCACCAAAACTGGCTGTGATGAATCGGATGAAGGATTTCCAGAAGCTTGCTTAGCAGGAGTATCGAACCACGCATTATTTCCGGAGTCTTCGGTTTGTAGTGTAGGAATGTGAGGAGGTTGGGTCTTTGGTTTTTCAACTATCGCAGGTTGCCATGGGTTTGTGCTGGAATCTGACACTGCTAATTCGGATAATTCTTGCACAGGGGCTGCATTTGGGGTTAGTAAAGGAAGATTGGTCGCCATGAACTTGCAAGACTTGCCATTGTTTTGACCAGAAGGTATCGGCGAAGGCGCTTGGAAGGGAATGGGGGGAGTCTGAGGAGTTTGCCCCCATACATCTGCGCTACTGTCTTTCCCCTCCATATTCTGAACTTGTCTTCTCAAGAACGGGTTCGTAGAAGTAGGATCTGGTCGCAAAGAAGACCGAGAGCTTGTATTCAAGCGACCTCCTGGACCGACTCGTAAAGCTTCTGGGATATTATCTGGCTTCAAGAGTGGTTGTCCAGAATTGGAGGTTGTATTCCCTTGACCTTCTCCCCAACTGTCTGGATCCTCGTCCAACAAATGTGCTCTTGAAGCTCTGACATCTTCTTGTGATGGTTGTGATCCAAAGGGATGAGGTTGTTCAGTCGAGATCGGTGTTACAGGGTATGGTAACGAGACAGCTTCATGACCAGGTGGAAGAGGCTTTCGGGTGACCATGTTAACTTTGGATGAGGGTTAATTTAGTTTGAGACAACAAACGAGAAGTCTCTCGCTTCAAGCACACTGCTACGAGTAAGACGTGCGCAGTGGTGTAGTGGTGTTTTGGTGTTTTGGTGTTTTGTTGTTATGGTTGACTAAGAAGTGATCGATGGATTATTGTGATCGCTCAATCGACATGAGGTCATTTCGGTATTATCTGCCAAGTTGTGAATGGCGGGGATGGTCAGAGCAATTACGGTGTATACTCTATGTTGGGTGGATGACGACTTTTGGTAAGTCAATAGTTGTCAATCATGGGTGAAGAAGCTGTAGATCCGGCGAAGTAAGTAGGGAGCAGCAGTTCGAGTGCAGCAATATAGGCTACAGTTTGAACGGGCAGAGTAGAAGGTTGGGTTGTTTGATTCACTACTGCCACTGTACTTGGCTCTGTCTTGTGTTTGGATGGACAAGGGCAGGGGTAGGAGCAGCGCTAGTCCTATCATATGGCGCCGCCGAGATGCCTACGCCGCTTCAGCCTCAGCCACAAACGTACGTAGCGATCTCATTCACCCGCAACTCTGCACCCAACCCGACTATAGCAAATGGAAGCAGGTATTTTGTGAGGATCCAACGTACAAAGGAGGGGACCAATTGAAGGAAAGCTGAATTGGGAACTGTGGAAGATATGATGAGAGAATCAATTTTGGAGGCTTGAAGTTGACATGATCCCTCAAGCAAGAATCCTCCCCCAAACGAGGCGAGGCTAAGAAAGAGATGTTGATCGCAGCATACGCATACGCGTCGTTGGCGGGTTGGGGCGATGGGAAGTTGCAGGAACCATATCAATCCTGGGCATTCAAATTTACTTCACAACTCAAACATTCTCTATATTGGAAGTGGGACGAAGTTGAGAATTGGCAGAAGCTGGATGAATTGATTTATGAACTTATTTGAAAAGAGTAAACAACGGAGTGCTACTGACCTACCCTACGTACCTAGGCTCGCTAGGCACTTGTGAATTTGGAGCGTAGGTGTAGCCAGTAGCAGTTGTAGAGTAGTGAGTGGCTACTAGTGTTTTTCAGCATTTGCCGAGGATTACCCACAGTGTGAATCTAGCTGATAAAGTACTGGATAAGAAACTCCAATCTAGACCCGTACAAGTAGGCCTCTTACTACTGAGTACTCCTACAACAATAGAGTGTCAACTCCTACAACCTCAAACTCCGTCTCCTACCACCTACGACTACCGCGCCTAGAAGGTACACGCCGCTCTCATCCAACCTCGTCTTCGCTCCCACAAAGCCTCGCATCTCATCGCACCAACAACCAACCGTCCACTACACACATCCCACTACCCCACCACCACTACCACCACCCTTCTCAGCTCGAGGCAACAACACCTCTCCCCATCGCATACAACCTCCAGCCAGCACAACCATGTCCTTCGCCAACAAGAGATTAGGAAAGGAATTAGCAAAGGTTCGAATATACCACATTTTATTTCTTCTTAATAGAGACTAGAAGCTAATGCCCCTCTGCAGATCCACGGCAGCCTACCGCCGGGCATTACACTAGTAACCGCTGACGGCTTCCAAGAATGGCTTCTCGACATCCAAGTCCTTGACGCAAACCCGATATACATGAACAAGACCTTTCGCCTGAAATTCAAATTCAGTACTTCGTATCCAATCGGTATGAACATGTGTCCCCCTGCATTCCCCTCATACTCTGCCCCTCTTCAGAAACCCTTTCATATCCCCTCCTTCTACCACCCCGTCTCATGCTAACCCTCTATCCAATTCATCTACATTTACTAACCTCTACAGAACCCCCGGAAGTAACATTCACACAACAACCCGACCGCCCTATCCCCATGCACCCACATATCTATAGTAACGGAATAATCTGTCTCGACCTTTTGGGCCAACAAGGCTGGTCACCCGTTCAGAACGTAGAAAGCATCTGCATGTCTCTACAGAGCATGTTAACAGGGAATACCAAGAATGAACGACCGGAAGGGGATGCTGCGTTCGTGGCGAGTAACAGACGGAGACCGAGAGATATTGATTTTTATTATCATGATAATACTGTTTGAGGGTGATTTTTGGAGAAGGATTGGGAGGAGAGGAAGGGGTTTGGCTTGTATGAGGGGAAGTGAATGGAGATGGGAATAGGGAGACGTCTGACAGCTCGACTATCCGTACTGCGCCAGGAACAAAACGGGCGGTTCTCTATGCACGAGATGTGCCCTTCAATCCATCCATCCATCCATCCACATAACAAACCTCGGACACATGATAGGACCAAAAGATACATCCCTGAAAGAAAGGGAGAAAAGGAGGCAGGCTCATACATCTCAAAGGGGCATACATATCTAGCAGACACAGACACAGGACAGGTCAGGAAAGGCATACTAGCAAAGCGTGGGCGTTTCGGGTGGTACTTCTTGTACATTTGTCTTTTTTCATCCTCTTCTAAAATTTCAATTTGCGGTACTTTTTATAGGGATAATATACCCAGTATTCGACAAATCACAATTTAGTTCCCTGTCTGGCTCGCGAATTCAAATCTCGCAAATGTGGTACAAATCCAACGTTTCGCGAATTTCATACAGTAGGAGCTAGGTAGGTAGTGACTCATAGGTACCTAGTTACAAATCTTTCCTGATTTTGCACGAGATTTCCGCTACTTACAATCTTACGAAAACATATACATTAGGTACTATTTAGCTACCTATATCCCGAGTAGTTTTTTTCTTCTTCCTCTACCTCTTTCGTTATACTGTATATCTAGTATTACCTTACCTTACATACCCCTCAAAAGAACCAAGAAAAACAGAGAGAGAAGAAAAGAAAAGAAAAGGAAAGAAAAGAAAATCAGTGAAAAATCAATGAAAAGAATAGAAAAGAAAAGAAACGAAACGAAAGGGCTTTTTATAACCTTCTTAGAATAATTCTGTGCTTATAGAAATTTAAATAACTTTAAAAATATCTCGGGATCGTTTTTACTCTTACTAGTAGAATTATCTAAATATAGTACTTGCACTAAAATATCTAAATTTCTTTTCTTCTCTTCTCTTTTTTTTTAAAAAAAAAAAGAAAAAAGAAAAGAGGGTAGGGGCAGCGTAAAAAATAATTAGAATAGATTAACTAAAGAGGTCTTAATCTAAGTTAATCTAATCAACTAGACCTCCTAATCTTATTTAATCACTCGATTAACGAGATAATCTAATTAAATCGATTAATACGGGCCGAAGCCTCGGACCGGCGGACCGAGAGCTCGGAGGGTGCTCGGCGTACCACGTGAGACCTAAGCGAGAGCCCCTACATCGTATATACGATATAATTCTTGCACTTGTCTTAACTAGGAACGTTCCTATAGAGTAGGAATGAGTTTCAGCCAGCTCTATACTAAAGAATGTACTATGTTGTACTTTGTTTACATTTCTAGTCTATAGGAACGTTCTTAGATAAGAAAAGTAAAAGAAAGCATTTATATTTTCCTTCTTTATTAGCGTCTCTATACGTTCTCTAAGTGTATTAGTAGTACTTTAAACTATATACTATTATTCTAATTAGTTTAATTAACTAAACGCCTCTTAACTTATTTAATTACCGAAAGTTCTAATCTAATTTAAATTAATTCATTTCTGATTTAGTTAATTAATAATCGATTAAGTGATTAATTTGTTCTCACGCAAGGTAGGGGGGTAATAATAGTACTATATAGTAGCCTATAGACTTGAGGCTAGAGGTGAATTTCCCGTCCTTACCTATATTAGATTATCTATAATAATAGGTAGAGGGTCGTAGAGTAAGTAGAGTATTAGTTTTTTACTATAATATATTATGTTATATTATGTACCTAATATAATAATACCTACCTAGTCTTAGATTTAGATTTAACGGTAGAGTGTCACGAATCACGTACTCACGTGATACCTGTCATAGTAAGAGGCGCAATCATCGACAGGCACATCCAGGTTTCTTATAGCAAATAGGGATCGTTTGGAGTAGCTAAGCGATCCAGGGATTTCTCTGTATTGTTATCACGTGACCAGTAGTGGTCGCTTGGTCGCGGCGACCAGCAGCGATCATGGGAATGCGGGTTCTATATAGGACTGGCACGTCTGCCATTAGATAGGAGCTTCGTGCTCAACTTAGTTATCAATCTTATCATATTAGTTTGACATCTTTGATACAAGTAACGAGTTCACTTCCAAGTGAACAACCCGATAGTCTTCTTCTTATCATAGCATACCAACCAGCGAACACCCAGCCAAGTTTAGTTAGCCAGTTTGAGTATTCGTTACATAGAGTTTACCTAGGTAGGTATTCTATCTTCCTACCTAGACTAGGGTTCATCTTTGATTCTTTAGCTTATACCTACCTAACTAGTACTATTAATAAAAAGCTTTTCATGTTTATCTCGCGGGCTAGATGGGTTCTTAATTCCAGTACTCGTAAGGGGTTAAACTCTCGAGATAAGTCCTTATCTCGCGAGCTACGTACGTATATACCTAGGGTTCTGAATCACAGTAAGAAACCTACTCATTACTCTACACACACCTAGGTATACAAAAAGTCATTATACCAAAAGTCTACCTAGGCAGTACAACATAACTAATTACCCTACCTAGGTATATTAGCTAGGTTAATAAGGAGTAAAAAGTATCAATTATTCAATTTATTCTAAACTATTCGTATCATTGATTTAGTTATATAAAGCCTTTAGGATAATATTTTTTATAACTTAGGCGTGTATAGAGTAATGCCCGCCTCTCTTAGGTGTAAAAAAGATTTGGATTCTAGGATGGGATTGAGGGGAGGGATTGAATAGGNCTTTAGGATAATATTTTTTATAACTTAGGCGTGTATAGAGTAATGCCCGCCTCTCTTAGGTGTAAAAAAGATTTGGATTCTAGGATGGGATTGAGGGGAGGGATTGAATAGGATGGGTGGGGAGGGAGGGGTGGTTTGGTTTTTCTACCGTACTTAGGTAGGTGTAGATGGAGGGTGTTTGTTGATTTTATGTATCCCTCCCAGACAATAAAGGGAGCAAAAAAAAACGTGCACTCGAAGTGGATATAAGTGGATGTAAAACTGGGTCGAATTAAGGCTTAAGTCCTTGGAAACCTGTTCTGGTTGGCCAAATAACTTTGTTTTACGGGGAAGAAGTTATAAAAGTAGATGCTTTTACTCCACTTCGAGTGCACGTCTTTCTTGCTCCCTTTATTGTCTGGAAGGGATATAAATGTATACATACCTACAGTAGTTCGAAATCCATACAAACTCATACACATTGCTCCTCTCTCCATCACTCCCATCAAAGGAGATCCCACCCTTGCTAGCTAGCCCTAATATCATACACTGGAAGCAAAGAAAGGAAGCCCCCCAAGACACAAGGGGCCCAAATACATCTTACAGTACCTGCTACTACAACAACAGGCGCATAAAACCATCAGAAACTCCCCTTCCCCCCTTCAAGTTTAGAACAACCCCCTCTCACCCGCCGCCCTCCTCATAACCCACCCCTTAACCCCCTCCAACCGATCCACAATCCCCAACCCCAAACTCCTAACCCTGACCACACCAAGATTCTCCGTAGCATACAACTTATGCAGTTTATCAACGACACCCATAAGGACATGATTCCGCCAATACCTCTCCTTTCCATAGCCCTCAAGATTCATTCGCGTACCGATATCCGCTCCATGCTCGACATTGTAGATGATATTTTGGGTAAGGGCTTCAACGTCACCTTGTCCCTGGTTCAGACCCTGGCCGGCAAGAGGATGAACAGAGTGTGCTGCGTCCCCGACGAGGGCGATGCGTTGCGAGATGTAGGAGTCTGCGTGGCGGAATTTGAGGGGGAAGGAGGCGATGGATCCGGGTTGGACGGCGACGACGTCTTGGGGGACTTGTTCCCTGGAGAATTTCGTGTGGGTTTCTCGCCAGGAGACTTCGTCTTTTTGTCCCCCTTCTATGGTGTGGAGGAATTTGAGATCTGGGGTGCGCAATCGGAACGCTGCATTTACCATTGCGCAAAAGTCTTCTGGGCTTAAGCTCTTGAGTCTCGCGGCTAGAGCTGGCGTTGTACTCCAGACGAGTGTTGACATGTTACCTGGTAGTGGAAGCATCGCGACCGGACCTGTGGGTAGGAATCTCTGATACGCAATCTTCTTTCCTTCTCCTCCCCATCCTGGACCTGACAGCTTGAGAGTAGCGACGAGACCAACACGGTTGTAATCCCATCCTCTACTCTCTATCCCAGCGAACGTCCGCACAGGGGAATTCGCACCATCCGCGCCGACTAATAACCTCGCCGCAAGTCGAGTTCCCGAGGAAGTCGTGATGACAGGCCAGGAAGTCAGATCCGCGGTTGGTGTGTCCTCACCAAAAGCAATATCCTCAACCTTCTCCCCCTCGAGAATATCCACGCCCCCAAGTTCTTCAATCCTCCTAAGAAGCGCAGAGGTAAGATTAACATTCTCATTCATATATGCAACCACTCCCCCATTGCTACCCTCTGTCCCTTCCCTTTCCTCTTTCACCCCCTCTACACCGCCTCCCCCACCATCAACATCAAACCCAATACTCTCCCCACTAACCCCATCCCAGACCCTCATACCCCCATACGACATGACCCGCTCCCTCCTGACATGTCTCCAAGCCCCAATCCCATCCAGGAACCCCACCGAGGCAGGCGTAAGACTCGAGCAGCGATTCGAGTACGAATCCGGTTGCGGGGCGAAAGTGCGTAGCGGGGTGAGCGATTGCGTTTCAATGAGGGCGAGGCGGAGACGGGAGGTGGTGGGGTGGGATCCTTCGCTTGGTGTTAGTTTGATGTGTATGAATAATGGAGGGTTGGTGTATGGATGTTGATTGCGAATTAAGGGGAATACATAGAGGAATAGAATGAATATAGAGAGGAGGAGAGTAAAGAAAGGCAGTACTAACGCAAAGCAGCAAGAAGACTCAATCCCGCCGGTCCACCACCCACACAAACAACATCATAAATCTCAGGATCTCCCTCAGGATCTCCCGCGCCTGACGCAGTGGCAAAACTCCTCTTCTCTCGTCGTAAGAGTCGTGCACAAGTTCTACATCGTACTCCACTCAATTGTCGTGCCCGCAACGAGGACAAAACGGGATTCATATTGTGTTCTCGAATCTCACATGCATGTGTAGAAGTTAAAGAGGTAGATGACATCTATAGAATTTCGACAGGGACTATGAAGCTACCCATGTAAGACGCACATCTACCCGGGGTTTAACCAGTCTAGACCCCTCCAGAGAAGGCAAAGCATGCAGGAGGGGAAAAGGCACAGCAAAGTGTTTCAAAAAAATAGTTTTAATTTCTATTACTAGCTAGCTAATATTTAACTAAAAAAGTTATTCATCAAGCTCAATTTTCCTCTATGAAATTCGCCGTTGGTCTCGCTGTATGTTTTAAGAGCGGCAAAGAAAAACGAGCTCTCAAGTATCGCCAGAACAGCAGAAGCCAAAGTCCAAGATTGATGAAATCAACAATCCTAGGCACCTGCGAGTTTAGATCTCTTCTTCTCGCAATTCTGAGAAGCTCCCTATGAAAAAGCCGTAGCCGCCAGCTCCACAAGAAAATGCTAATTTCATGATGCCGTCCCATCCCCCGCTACCCCAGGTGTAAATGCGGTGAATTTGAAATTGGAAAGCTTGAAGAGAAATGATTGGTGTGCGTATATTTTATACAAAGTGTTTGGTGGATTGGGTCGCGATCGACCAAGTGTGGAATTTTGAGAAGTCGGAAGGCGAATGGTATCGATTTAGAACTCCCAGTCATCCTCATCCTCGATGGATTCAATTGCCCAGGTGAATTTTTCACGAAGAGTCTTGGAGAAGAACTTTTCAATCGGAACATCAAACTTCTTGGAAAAGACAACAGTGAGACGAGGATCAATATAATTCTGGGTAACGTTAGTGGTCTAGATCAGCATTTTGAGAACGTGGTTCACTTACGATCTTACTCGTGCCGAGAGCAACCTCCTTGTTGCCCTCTCGGTCTTCTGCTTGAAGGTTCATTGTCGCAATTCGCTCATCAAGCTTCTTAAGATTGGCCTCAAACTTCTCAACAGACGGACCTTTGCCCTCGGCTTCGACCTTTTTAGATTTATGCTCCTTTTTCAATTTCTTTTCGAGGACGTCGGCCTCCTTAAGTCTGTCGGTAAGTTCCTTGGCCTTCATTTCCTTTTGACCATCAGCGACAAGCTTCTCATTCTCTTTGGCAAACTTCTTTTCGATCTTGGTGCGCTGTTCTTGGACGAGGAAAGCAATGTGTTCAACAATCCACTCATCGTCGATACCCTCTTCATACTCGAACCATTCGGCACCCTTCTTCTTCTTTTGCTTGGGATCCAAGTCAAGAATCATATGCTTGATACGCCACTTTTGATAACGAAGTCCCTTGATCTGATATTTTTGTTAGCATAAAGACCTTCACTATATGAAATTACAACATACCCGATCTGTCATCTTCTCCATTTGCGCCTCATGGCCAGCACCAATAGTACGCTTATGATTACAAAGAATGGCAACCTTTCGATTACAATCATTGTAAAGCTTGATCTTTTCTTGCATGCTGAGATTGGCCTTCTTGGGGAGCTCCTTCAAAAGGGATGACATTGTAAATGAAGCATTGTAGGTACGGAAAACCTTTGCACTAAGACCAGGCATGTAATTTGTAAGATGCTTGTTGAGTTGAGTAGTCTGATGGAAAACGTTAGCTTTTTCACGGGAAGTAAAGATTGAAATAGCTTACATTCAAGCGATCGAAAATATCGTCACCCTCCTTCTTTGGGGCCTTCTTGAAGATCTTCAAATTCTTGAAAACTTGTTCGTGAACGGTAACCTCATCGTAGAATCGAATACTATCCTTTCCGAGGAAATCAAAGACAACAGTATTCGGGGGTTTAAGAGTAACATGCTCAAACTTCAAAGAACAGCATCCAACGGTCTCAGCCTCATTCTCAGAGTCCTTTTCATTACCGGCACGAAGTGCGAATTTATCAATCAAGTAGACAGCTGTTGCTCGTTGACGATCGGCCTGCCAAGGGGTTAGCTAGGTAGAGACAAATAGGGAAATAAAATCACCATCAGTTCTGCCTTCAAATCTCGTTCATAGTCCTTCCGGATACGGTCAATGTGCTCCTTGAGTTGTCTGGCCTTCTCGAACTTTTTGTAATCACTCTGGCCTTTGATACTACTTTTCGCCGCAAGCATGACATATTTGTATGCGCCGTTGATATTCTCCTGCCACATAACAAGCCAAGTTGCTTTGTTGTCATGTTGGATTGCCTTCCATTTATGGCCCTCTGGTGGAGCAGGAGGAATAGCTTCTTTGCCAATATTGATGGTGATCTGCTCAGGAAGAACTCTCTGCTTGACCTTGCCGGTTTTTGGATGCTCTCCACGACCTCGGAAAAGTCCAGGAGGTTCAACTCTAAAGTTACCCACCTGCTCTTTGCGACCATCCCAAATGCAATGAACATAAGGAGCTTCCATTTCGTCTTTGGCCGCCTTGTCGGCTTTCTTCTCTGCGCTTGATCTGGCCTTCTTTTCCTGGTTCTTGGCGTCGTAATAATTGAAGATGGGCTTGAAATCAAGCTTGGAAAAGTCCTTGAGGTCGACTTTATTACCATCCTTGTCCTTGGCGCCACCAGTCTTCTTGACGATTTCTTTCAAATCTGCAAAAAAGTTCTTTTGAAATGTGGGATTTTCAACGTTGTGTGTTGAGTTCAACATGGCTCCAAAAAATCCAGCAACTTCTTCGGCTTCGATGGAGAGAGTGAGCGGGGTGCCAGCGTAGAGCAGCTTGACATTTTTTGGAAGTGGCTCGTACTCTGGTGGAAAAACAACACCATTATGCTGCAAAGTTTCCCACTTAATGCTGTCATCCTCCTTCTTTGGCGCATCCCACCAACGGTAAACTTCCTCAGCCTCCTCACTTTCGCCCTTTTTAGCACCTTTCTTGGGAGAAGCTTCTACCTTGACTTTGCCATTTGTCGCAGCCTTTCCCTTGCCTTTTGCTGCTGCTCCTTTTTTGGCGAGTGGGGCGTCGGAGTCCGATTCTTCCTTCTTCACTCCATTCGCCTTCTTCGCAGTTGTGGTGCCATTTGCCTTGCGTTTGGCCTTAGGCTTGACGTCCTCCTCTGAGGATTCATCCTTGACCTTCTTTGCTGGCTTCTTGTCCTTGGCCCGAATCGTCTTGGCTTCTTTGGCGGCCTTCTTTTCGATCGTAGCCTTTTTCTTCGCAAGCTTAGCATTCAGAGGTTCGTCATCGTCACTTGATTCGCCCAAGATAGCAGTGTTTTTGGGGGGTAATTTGCCTGGCTGCTTCTTGGTTGCCAATGGCTCATCATCCGAGTCCGATTCCTCAACTTTGGTAGTTGTTCTTTGACGTTTTGCCTACAATTCGTCAGTACCGTATTCGTGGGGTTTCCAGCTTCAATAGATGAAAGTGGCGTGGTTGTATCGCATACCAATGGTATATCGTCATCCTCACTTTCGGAGCCTTGCTGATTGTAATTTACGGGCTTGGATGTGCTACCTCTCGACTTGCGCTTCGCATGCCCATTTGTTGCTGGTTCATCCACGTCCATCTCGTCGACAATTGGGCCATTTCGAATCGAGATACCCGCAGGGGCTGGCTTGGAACCGTTAGACTCGTCCATGGCTTTGTCGACGGACTTGGAGATGTGAGCGTTAGAAACTAGGTAGAACTGTCAGGACCTCGAGGAAGCATGGTGAAGAAATAGACACCCAAAGGTGAGAAGGAGAAATCGAGTATTCGCAGCAATGGTGAAGGAAGACCGTCAGATCGAGAAGAGTAATTTAGGCTGTCAAGCCTCACCTTTGCGCAAAGGGTAGTTGCAACGGGGAAATCATACCTCGTCCATTCGTTCTCGCCAGAGGCATATCGTCATCAGAGTCGGAAGCCATCTTAAACTTGAAGATTTTGAAGGGTTTGAAGGGGAATGGGGGTGGGTGAGATCGTTGAGCCGTGGCTCTCTGGGGGGTGGATCGGTGCCAGGAGCTGAGGGTAGAAGTTGTCAATAAATGATCGGGGTCCACGCGAAGTCAATCGCGAAGAGGTTTGCAACCTGCCTCTGAGCGCGTAGAGTTGATGAGCACAGCGAAAATTGGTGGATTGGAGAAGGTCGTGGCAATAGTTGCAGGAGTGGTAGTCGTGACAGTAGTCGTGAGCCGACCATGCATAGGGAGTTTGGAAAAAAGTCAGAAAGTAGAAGGTAGAGAGACAGGCAGAGAGGTTTTAGTGTCGGTACAGTACCGTCCTTACTTGAAAAAGGGTTCGTTGCGACTACCTAGCGAGGTACTTGGTGCTTGGTAGGTAGGTACTTACAGCTGGCCCGCTGTGCTGTATGCGACAGACTGACTGGGCCGTAGTTTGCCAAGCCTTAAGCTTTAGGTACTGTCAGCTTGCTCCAGCCTCTATGCGATCCCAGCAACCGACCTTTTCAGTGTCCACTTGGTGCCACTCTTCTACTACTATTCACAGTCGGTGCCTCAGGCCATCAGGTCTACTGCGAAGCCTTTCAACCCTCCAACGTACGAATCCTCAGTCACTACCCAGCAGCATCAATTGAGCAACAACCTCAACCGCGGTCAATTGAGGATTCCTATTCACACCCTCGATAATTCCCCTCCTTCTCCGTAAAATGCTTTCAAGAGCTGCCAGACCGGCTTTGAGAGCTGGCGCCACGGTGGCTACCCGGTAAGGACTTTGGACGAATGAATATGCGGGTGTTGACGGAGCAGACGAAGCTTCGTGGAAGCCCGAGGTCGCCAGAGAAAATTGATGATGGAAAGCTAATACCGTTTAATGGCAGACGCGTCGCCCCAAATGCCGCCAACTTCGCGACCCTCCGTGAAATCGAGGACCGATTGAAGTCAATTCGAAATATCGAGAAGATTACCAACACCATGAAGATTGTCGCTTCAACCAAGCTTACCCGTGCCCAACGTGCTATGACCAGCTCCCGACAATACGGTCAAACCTCCAACACCGTTTTCGATAATGCGGAGACCAAGGCTTTGGAAGGGGAGAACAAGAAGACCTTGATTGTGGTCGCAAGCTCCGACAAGGGTCTTTGTGGTGGTATTCACTCCGGAATGTCTAAGCAGGTCCGTAGAATGCTTCTCGAGAAGCCGGATGCAGATATTGTGGTTCTCGGAGAGAAGTGCAAAGCTCAATTGAGCAGATCAAACGGCAGGAACATTGTGTTGAACTTTGCTGGTCTTGGAAAGGATATCCCAACTTTTGCCGATGCTCAAGCAATCGCAGACCAAATCTCCCTGTTGCCAACGGACTACGCTTCAATTCAGATCGTTTACAACAAGTTTATCAATGCCACCAGTTACGAGGCCACTCCAATTGAGGCTTTCTCGGAAGAGGCCATTGCCAACTCCCGTATGTTCCCGAAAATAGATGTACAAGCTCCAAGCTAACCATAAAAACAGCCAACTTTTCCGCTTTCGAGATTGAGGATGAAACTCTTGGAAACCTCCGAGAATACGCTCTTTCCAACTCTTTGTACTGGGCTCTTGCTGAGGGACATGCCTGTGAACAATCTGCTCGTCGTAATGCTATGGATGTGAGTATTTTGCTTAATTGATACATAATTTAACACTGACAAAAAATCAGAACGCTTCCAAGAACGCTGGTGACATGATCACCAAATACCAAATTCTCTTCAACCGAACCCGTCAAGCCGTCATTACTGGAGAATTGGTTGAAATTATTACCGGTGCTGCTGCTTCGGAAGAGTAGAGAGGGTTGTTTGTGAATATGTAGTCTAGTCAAAGAGTGTTCCTGATCATACCCGATCAAGTCGAACAAAAATTCCCTTTTTTATGTATCAACTGAAACTCTTTAAATCTTAAGGGGACTGGACTGTGTAAAAAAAAGCATGGGTAATATATTTTCCTTTATTGTTATGCCTATTTTTGCTCCTCAAGTGAGTCACGAGTATCGAGAGAATCTAAGTGGTTCCAGTGAGCCTGTACTCAACAGATCACAGTATTCTCTCTCTCCTTCTGGTCTCAGACTTTATTCATTCACACCACAAGCGAAGAGTTCAGATTGTTTTGTTCTTCTGCTTTCCTATTATTCAATTTAATCCTTGCGAGAGAAAAGAATCCTCTATCCCTATCATCATCTCGAAAGCAGAACCTCACCGGATCCACAACATCCCTTCATCTCATCTCATCTCACTATCCCAATTCCTTCATTCCTCAAGCTCTCCACAATCCGCATTCTTTAACCTCCGCTTACCACGCAAATTCCCATCACTCTCACTTTTCTCATCTACCTATCCCTATCCACTTTCTCTATTATCTATCCCTACACGCCAAATCCCCCTCTCCTTCCCCTCAATACCTCCCACCCCTCACCCCCGACACAACCGCAGCACACAACTGACTCACCAACCCCGCCATCCTACTCCTAATCATCTCCCCATCAACTAACTCCCCCATCTTAATCCTCTCTTTGAAATGGGTGCGTACTTTCGTTACTGGGCCTCTGGGGCTTGGGTTCGAGTCGCTGGGGTTTGAGTCGATGGGATTTGGGTCGCTGGGGCTGGAGGAGATGGGAGTTGAGATGGGAGTTGAGATGGGAGTTGAGATAGGAGTTGAGATAGGGGAAGGGGAGGGAGAGGGAGGTAAAAGATATACAAACCCACAAGGTCGGGGGATCCATGCTATTTCTGGGTATGTATATGTGTTGTATACGTTGTAAGTATAGGGGTAAGTATAAGTGTAAGTATAATGTGAGAAAATGCCAGGAGGGAGGTAAGAATATACATCCCAATGCCATGGTCTTAGATCTTGATAGTGGATGAAGGTTAGGGGGTGCCATTTCCATGTCCAGGATGGTGTTGTGGTTGTGGTTGGGGTTGTGGTTGTATGTCCTGAGCTATTTTCTGAGTTCAGAGATGGATAATAATATGGGAGGAGGATACAGAGGAGTCCTGAGCTGGGGGGTGTGGTTTGTATGATATCTGTCGTTAAATGTGGTGTCGTTTGTGGGTTGTCCCTGGACCGGTCCCTGGACCGGCCCCTGGCTTGGTGTTGAGATTCGCAGAATGGACAGGGGAAGGGGAGGGGGATGGAGGCTGTTGGAAAGACTGGTGGGGTAGAGGGAGTGGGTTGTGTGGGAGAGGGGTATTGGACGGGGAGGATTGGACCGTGGGCTGTGTGGCCGCAGGTGTGGGTGTAGACCTTTTGGTGGTACATGTTTGGTGTGTTTTTTTGGTTCTTTGGTGGTTTGATTTGCTTTCCTGTTCTTTCGGGTGGGGGGNGTGTGGGTGTAGACCTTTTGGTGGTACATGTTTGGTGTGTTTTTTTGGTTCTTTGGTGGTTTGATTTGCTTTCCTGTTCTTTCGGGGGGGGGGGGGGTAATAGTTGTTGATGGTAACAGGTTGAGGTGTGCGTCTTGTGGTTTTTGCTGGCTTGTTGGCAGTTGGGATTTGTTTGGATGAGCGGATGGATGGATGGATGATGGATCTGAGATTAAGATGTTTTGTTTGTGGGATGTTGGGGTCGTTGTGTATAACATGGGTTGGGAGGTGGGATGGGAGGTTATAGGATGATTCAAGCTTTAGCTGTGATTGTGATTGTGATTAGGATTGCTATTATCTGACTCCTTGAACTCCGCAAATTACACTCTGCTTGAAACTGTCCTCAAAATTCAAGGTCGTGAATAACCACATCGATATTTAAGTGCCTAACTCAATCATCGGGTTCTTCTTCATTGTGAGTCAACTTATTCAGCCACGTCAAGTCAAATTAAGCGAATACTGTACAGTACTTCACCCAATGATTCTCCTCTACCTACTGTACATCTCAAACACACTTCTTTAGCTTTCCTTACTCGTACACAGGAAATAAAATCCGCGACGTGCGGACTTGGAATCACAGCTAGCTATGGTGGGATGAAATAAAATAAAATTATAAGGGCCAATTTTAGATGGTGAGATGGATCAAGTGGGAGCTAGTCATTGGGGGTTATGGTAAACATAGTTTTTATAAGAAATCCTCTTGTGACCTCGTTAAACGAGATGTTCAAAGAATTCTGATATTTTACCTTTTCTCAGTGTATATTTATGTAGAGTAATATAAAAGTAAGCTCTCTTTCAAAGAATTCTGATATATTACCTTTTCTCAGTGTATATTTATGTAGAGTAATATAAAAGTAAGCTCTCTTTCAAAGAAACAAACAAGTACCCCTATCATGATTTACAATTTCAGCTGGCTAGCGATGTGTATACTCACCCATTCTGTACATATAATCCACGCCTAATTTACCCTAGTCCCTGGGTGTATTGGAACGGAATCCGCAAGCGACAGACGGGCGTCGGGCACCTACACAGTTATAATGTTAATTTGAAACAGGATATATTGTACTAGATGATGTTTTACATGTAAGCTTACTAGTATCTGCCGTTTTGGAATGGTGCTTAGAAGAGTGTGAGGGGGATAGATGATCATGGGCAAGCTAGGTCTGCAGTGTAGCTCTGATAGTGTGCGGTTAAGCGTTTCTCAGTGGGTATGGGAAACTTATGTGAGAAGATTTTCATAGGATTGATTTACAGGTAAAGGTACTACCTGACCTTTGAGGATCTTACTAATAAACTCTACTAAACGATTTATATTCAGCTTATCGTAGTACTCTCTAGTACCATGTTACTTCAGGGAATTCGCTTTGGATTGACCAATATATAACAATTACATTGCTACATATAATTGTTAAAAACCAGTTACTAGTTAGTACGCTACCAACCCAATATTTTCAGAACAGCCAGAGAAGTAGAGATCTAGGTATTTGTATACATCCATCAACGAATCCTTCGGAGGTCACCAAGCTTACAATTCCATTAGTGAAAGAACTGACATCTAGCGTAACGCCAAACTCTCCTTAGGATTTCTGAGATATGAGAGAGTGTCTGATCAGGGTGGGCTCGTACAGTAGAGTTTTAGAAAGTAGCATAACAGATGGGCCGAGAAGCAGTTAGTGATAGATGAGTTGAGTGGAGGGTTTGCTGTCGAATGGGAGATATTTGATTTACTAGGGATTGTACAGCTAATCAACGACAGAGTCTTGTTCTGTGTAAGGTTTGTTTGGGAGGGGGTTTGGGGTGAAGATTGGAGTCTGAGTTAGGCTTTTCTGACGTGAGTTTGATTGCGAAGTAGGCCCATCCCATTGCTTGATGATGTTGAGGGAGTATGGGGGTAGAAGGCCATTTTGTAGAATAGCATCAGGTCCTACTCTCTATTGTGAGAGAATAAGAACTTGACAGAGTTCTTTGCAACTCACATAGGAGATGGTTTTAGAGGGGCTAAAGGGCTTCTTCTGTGAGATATCGATGAGCGGTATGAGAGTGAAAAGGTGCTTGAAGAGTAATCTTATTTGTTTCTGTTTAAGAATCACGCCTAAGTGTTTGATCTACTTTTAGTTTTAAATACCTATTAGTCATCGCCTAAGATTGATCATGTGTAATAGAGAAAGCGTACAGGAGAATTAATGATCCTGAAGTCATAGCTTTCTGGACGTGACTCTAGCAGCGAGCTTACTGGCACTTCATTCTCACCTGAGTAACCACTTGCAAGTACCTGGCGGTGAAAATTCAAGTCTGTGTAAACTCAGTGGGGAATCTTTTATGAAATTTCTTGCCATCGAATACTTTGTTACTGTTGAACAAAAAATTTGCATTCATGTAATACTCCTGTTTTAAACTTGTCGAGAGCTGATTGAGTTTGAACCACATAAAATATCCAGAACTCTTTGGAGCTTTTGGGCGAATCGAATCTTATCTGAGTTGCTCACAAAACAACACAAAACAATACAAAAAAACAGAACAAACCAAAAAAAACCACCGAAAGAACCAGACAAAAAACCTCACCCCTTACCTCCCCCTCCTTCCCCACCCGGTACAGAAACCAAAAAACCCCCCAAAAAACCCCCTCACCCCCCATCAAAACCTAGGTGTCATTCACGGTACTAGACTTTCTGGCTTTACGTGCAACCCAGAATGTAATCCTCCACATCGTTTGCCACATCATTTGCCTTTTCCAAGCTGGGCCAATAATGGGATTCACGGTCAGGTTGTGACAGCAGGACCGAAATGTCCTATATGGTCATAATCTTTATATACTACCTCAGCTACTTTACGACTAGTTCACACAGTTATCCTGCCGACACCATACTTAGACCCGTTCAATCGAATCAAATGATCTTGATCCATTTATGCCGTATATCTACATCACAAAACTCCCAAATTCAAAGGTTATAGTAAAGGCCCCCCAGGTTCGATTTGCACTACAAGAAGTTTATTGCTATCATCTCAGGACACCTCTCTCAAAGCAAGCTCCCTCGCATTATTACTTGCTCAAAATTTCCTTTATAAATTGGAAGATACTGCCTCAAGACCAACCTTTTAATGTAATTCCCAGCTATAATATATTCTCAAAGTTATAACTTATATCCCCTCGGGCATTTCATCGAATCTTGTTCCCTCACTGGTTCGAACGAATCTGAATAAGTTGATAAAGTTCTAAGAATCGGAGTTATTCTTTCCCGGCAGCCAGCTCGAAACTACAAAGGCGGTTCAATTGGCTGAGCAGAATTGTGGTTACTGCACAAAAAGGTATATCTTTCGGAGGTTAGTAGAATGTCATTATACACTTACAAATTGAACTAAAAGTGAGGCTTCTTTTCGGATTTCTGGTAGCTAATAAGAAGTAGATTTAATAGACATACTTGCTGTCGAATACTTTGTTACTGTCAGATCTGTATTGCACATTCACACTTCTATCTTTTTCGATTTTGAGAGCACTCATTCCTTCTCCATTGTGATTGCACCCTTCGCCAGTCCACAATCAAAGTAGCAAACGAGGCGTACATTGTATGGGTGATAGTAGACCATTTGCCACCAGTCGCAAAGCCAAAAGAGTTATGGGTGTAGTAACACAGATGCCTTCGCTAAATTCTGCGTGTTATATAAGAATGTAATTTAATACAAGAAGCAGCAAACTACCTACTGTGTACGCGACAGAGTAATTTTCTCCAATTTTTCAAGTTAAACTTTCTCATACAACCTGAATTAGGGGCAATTTAATACAGAACCGGTCTGAAGCTCCATACCTACTCGGATAGAATAATGGGTGTAGATCCTGCCTCTACATTGAATCGTCTTCGGTAGCACATATTAAAAGAACCATTTTTCATTGCTTTTAATTGCCAGACTAGGGTCTAGTCATAGATGTGTAGTAATCTGAAGCTAAGGTAAGCTAAATATCAGGCTTTGGGACGATGATAGGTTGACACTCAACATAGTTTCCCATCCGGGATTACATCCTACAAAAAAATGGCGAAAGATCAAAGTAACAAAAGAAAGGCTTGCAAAACGTCTGCTGGTATTCGGTTCCCCTTCTCCTTTGAGTTTGGTTGCGAAAATTGCCAGGATTTCTCAGGACACTGTATCTTTCGTTGGTTTATAGTCGACTAATGATTCTGCTGTCAAATGCTTTGTTACTGTCGAATGAAGTCGTCACATCCGAACCTTTATTTGGAGTTTGAGAATGGCGATGTAGTACGAATTCTCAGACGAAGGTGTTTGAGATATCTTTTTAGTACTGCATCTATTGCTACCATAATGGATTCTTTCTCTCTACCTTTACCATTTTCCCTATTGTGACGTCTTTTTTGTACAGTATTGTTTAATATTGGGGATTTGTGTAATCGTCGAATAAGTGTACTTTACCGTACCAGAAACCAGTGACCGATACGCCTCAAGCCTTGGGCTATTTTTATTCACTGACTTGGCTTACTTTTCTTGCTCCTGAAATCTCTACAGACGATTTGGTACCAAAGATTTAGTAGAGTTCTATGTGGTATTAGTGATTCTAAAAGGGGTTAGTTGTATATGAATGGGGATGACTATGTGGTTTGAAAGTACATAAGACTTATATCCGAAGTCGAAATCTATCAATTTCAAAATCGTAGGAAAGTTGTTACCTCTCTTGAACTTAATCACAACAAATTCGCAGTAAATACACACCAGAAGCTAAAATGAACAGGTTCAACGATTTTCAGAGTGAAGTGGAAACTCATGGCCGTAACAAAAGCGGAGCTTCAAGACTTGGGCTCGGGTTATCAGAGAGAAGACTGAGTGCTGTCGCTAAGATATCTCTTGAACTGGAAAATGGACATCAATTTGAATCAACTTGTTACTCACGTTAAATTTCCAGTCCAAACCACGTAACACATCATTTCCAAATTTCAACTAGAGCAGGAGGTGAAAACAGCAGTTAAAATAAACTCGATTACAGTTTTAGCGGTAGTACAATAAGACACTTGGAATTCCAGGAGAGCCACGATGTATACACAACATATAGTGTGAGACAAATGTGAAATAGCGTAATAGGGGGCCGGGTGGGGGGTCTATTTCAAAATGGGATTCTCATATTCACTCGCCCCCTAGCTTAACCTACAAGACATCAAACTCTCAAAATTGCACGCATATGACACACAGATTTTTATCCAAAAAAGCAAAAGATCAAAATGAGGCATGCAAGATAAGAATTGAAAAGAGAATAAAAAAATGACAAAAGATCTAACTCCCATACCAGTAGGTAAGGTATGGGAGCGCCAGTCAAACCAGGCGAACTGATTTCTTTAGCTGGAACACTTGTGATTTACCACCGGGCCACCTGTACTATAAGGATAACCATGTTCGTGACAGGAGCTTGGTTATTAGGAGTTTTATACTGTTGCGACCACATCACCTGCAAGATAGGTACTCACGTCCTTAAGGGTTTTTGCTGTTCCAGTAGCACCCTCGAGGGAGGGTTAGCGCGCGGTTGAGGGTCGCCTGAGAAACAAGGCCTTGTTAAGCCACAATACGATTTGGGCGCCAAGACTTCTAGGTATCAGCAACTTTTTAACCCTCAAAAGGCTTTTAAATCTTATATAATTAACACCTAGGTCTTTTCGCCAAGCATTATTAACTACAAGGGTTGTCCGAGGATTAGGAGGGTGCACTAGGGGCTTTAGAGAGTTAGAGAATTCTATATAGGTACAAAAGTTATATAAGCATTTGCTTCGAGCTGCATGAAGCTAAATATAGCTGCGCCACACCTTGCAGGGGTGCAATAAGTACTCGGTACTGTGCGCATACGACAGACAGCAACACCACGTAAATATAAGTTTCAGATTCGCGCGATTCAGCCAAGTTGGCCGGCGCGTACAGACGGCCGCACGACGCGTTACGGTGGTGGTGATGGTGGCGGCGGTGGTAGTGTTGGTGGTAGTGGGGATGACGGTGATACAACTGCGCATGCGGGCGGGGCAGATCGTCAGTCGAGGATAAAATATTTTTTACGAGGGTCAAGGATTTTTTGAACAGCTCTATAAAAATATGCTAATAGTTATAGACACCCGAGGGTTAAAAGTCGCTTGAGGATAAAGCCTTTTTTCTTGTATAGTTTTAGTATAAGTTACCTGTTTTTTTGAGGGTTAGACAAATTTAAGCCTCGCCCGAGGCTCTCCCGAGGGTGTGCCTGGGCCAGCAAAACCCTTTCAGGGTGGTACCTACATTTGTCACGTGGCAACATGGGTGTAGACCAAGGACGCTACGGCAGCCCAACTGCGCACTTGGCAAAAGCCCGAGGCTGAGCGCAAACCTCAACTTTGGCGGGGAAAGAAAAAATAACTTCTCCACCACACAAGGCTGTCTCTTACATCATGCAAACCTCATAACAAGACTCAATTCTCCATAAATCCAACACCAACAATGAATTTCCACTCTCTAGTCCAACCCGATTCCTGGGTCGCATTTCGACTGCCCTCCGATACGCTGAAAGTCGTTCAGATAGCCCCAAATACGTGAGTGCTAATCACAGAAGTGAGCATCCTCACATACAAACCAGCTCCAGAGCTAACCAAGCTGCAGAGTAATATCGCTAGGAAAATATGGATCGTTTTCGAGTAATGACCTCCTTGGAAGACCCTACAACCTAACCTATGAACTCCTTGACGCAAAGGCCGGCCAGAAAGCAGCGGGGTTACGTGTAGTCCCAGCCGCAGAACTGCACGCCGACACGATTCGCGAAGAAGAGGAAGCTGCAAATCCAAAGAGTTCGGATGATAAAGTTGTGCTTGGAGGTGATGGAGTAGAGTACGAGTTAGTAGGAGAGAATGGAGAGGTTATCATGCGATCGAATCGCGAGACTATCGATGATGCGGCGAGTCAAACGCTGACCATGGCTGAGATTGAGATCTTGAAACGGGAGGGAACTGGGGCAGGACATGACTTAATTGCGAAGTTGATGCTTAGTCATACTGCTATTGATCAGAAAACTGCTTTCTCGCTGGCGAAGTATAAGTTGTTGAAGACGAAGAAGTATTTACGGAGATTCACGGTATTGCCGCTCGATGTCGAGCTGCTGACGAACTGGTATATGAATGAGAGGGATGCTGGAAAAATCATGGAAATGAGATCGGAGATGTTGGCTCTGACGGGGAGTTGGGCAAATGTGCATTTCTCCGAGTCATTACCAGACATTGAAGGCGGAAAATGGCTGATAGTCGATGAAACAGGAGGATTACTGGTAGCAGCAATGGCAGAAAGAATGGGGATATTATATCCTTTGGAAGGAGAGATGGAGCCTTCGACAGAGAAGGCCCATCGCAGAGACGAACCGGCACTCGCAACTTCAAATACCCTAACAATGATCCACAACAACGCCCAACCCAACCTTAGTCTACTAAAATACTTTCAATACGACCCAACAATAGCCAATCCGCCATGTCCTAACCACCCTCTAGGGACGCATCTCCATCCCCTCTCCTGGCTCCAACTCATCTCCCCCGAAAAAGACACCACCTACAGCACGCCCGTAGAACCCCTCTCAGAAGAAGTCCTCGGTTCGCTAAAGCCCGGAAAAAGAGGAACCTACTACCGCAAACTCCGGCGCTGGAAAAGAACAACAAACATCGTCGACACGACACTCTCAGGAGGTTTCTCCGGTTTGGTCGTAGCCTCCCAAATGGACCCAACCTCCATCGTACGGCATACAATCCCCCTCTTACGCGGCGGAGCCAACGTCTCAATCTACAGCCCCACCATCGAACCCCTCGTGCAACTCTGCGACCACTACTCCACAGCCCGACGAACAGCATTCATCACAGCACCGCCTGAATCCTTTGCTTCCCTATCCACGGACGAAGAAAGAGATAATTGGAAAGGGGATGAGGATTTCCCGCTCAATCCTACGTTGTTGCTTAATGCTACGGTGCAGAGTGCTAGGGTGAGGAGTTGGCAGGTTTTACCTGGGAGGACGCATCCGCTTATGACGGCCAAGGGGGGTGCGGAAGGGTATCTTTTTACGGCCGTTAGGGTTGTGCCTGCGAGGGGACGGGTGGAGGCTCGAGGGAAGTTTGGGAAGAAGAGGAAGGTCGATGAGGTTGTCACGCCTGGCGGGGAGGGGGGGAAGAGTGAGCCGACGGAGAAGAAGATTCATCTTAGTGTTGAGGAAGAAATCAAACTTACTTTGATGGGAGAAAATACGCAGGCTGTGGAAGCTGTTGGTAATAGTAGTGCGGATGTGGAAATGAGTTTATCGTAGTTAGTAATCAGTTGAGAGAATCTGGATACTGAGTATAACAATCAATCCATTCGTAATATCATTTCTTTGACCCCTCCCTCTCGAGTCAAAGTCCCTTCACATCTTCTTTTCATCATCCATCAAACCTTGGCCTTTTCATTCCCCTCATACCCACCAGTTCCACTTCATCGTTCTTCAACCCCTCAACGCCTAGGAGCCCCCCCATGAACATCATCCCCTCCCCAGTCAATTCACCATCCTCAAGCTGTGACATTCCCATTCACTTCAGTAACCCCCTAACTCAAGCTCTTCCCCATAAACTTCCTCTTCGTAAAGCTCAACCACCATTTACTGGGTTTGTCACTCCCGTCCTCGTATATTCTTGCCAATAATCTGGAGGCTAGTTCTTGACGCACTTGGGAGAGGTATTGGCGCAGGACTTCGGCTTCTTGACGGGAGGCAGGGGGTTGGAACATCTGAGAGGGGATTTGGTTAGAATTTCCTATGAAGGGGAAATGAGTTGGAAAGGGGGAAGAGGAAGAGAAAGACATACTTGGTTAAGTGGAAATCCTGGGTCGCCTGGGATGGAGAAGTTGGTGTCTAGTGCTATGTTTTGCACTTCTTTTTGGGCTTCTCTGTAGTGATGTGTTAGCTGCGTATTGTGGTGTGTATAGATCTGAAACAGGTGTTCAGGGAGTTTGTAATTCTCCTTCAGTCCATCCATCCATCTTCTACCATCCTTACTCCCATCTTGCCGATCCCATGCCGCACTCAACATCGCCATCTCCAACTAATCCACAACCTCCTTCCCAAACGAAATAGAATTCCTCTTACCTAGGCGAGTACGTAGGTCTTATCTTCCCCAGACACTCACTAACCCACAAAATGCCATAAATCAACAGCCTATCCGCCGGCCCCTGGATCTCAAAGTTCCTAAAGAACGTGTTCGCGCGGAAGAGCCCTAGCACCTCATCGAGCGCATCGTAGCCCTCGGAATCCGGCTCGGGCGAGAGATGGGGTGCGAGAGACGGGTCCAAAGGGAGTGTGTAGGCGGGTCCCCTGGTGCGTGTGCGTAGGGGCAGAAGGGGGAAGTTGCCGATTAGTTGGATATTTTGGGGCGGCTCGTCGTTGAAGATCGAGTTGTAGGCCTGGGTGGGTTTGTGTTAGAGGGGAGAGAGAATGTGGGGGATATGGGGATATGGGGAGGGACGTACGGGCATGGTTGTGGTTTGGGATGGTGGTTTGGAGCTTGAGAGCTTGAGGAGTTGAGAGGATGATGTCGTGGTGGTGGGGTTGCCGCCTTATGTGTACAGAGCCGGGGTTTAACCGGGGCGTTTAAAGGGACGTCGCTTCGCTCGTTACTTCCTCCTTTTTACACATTTACCTCTATAATTTACAACTAGGTCATTAAAACGCTATCCCTAAATATCGATTAAATCCCATACCACTTAAGATTATTCAATAACAATCTAAATTCAAGTCACAGTCATAGCATATCATTTCTTCTATGTACTGCCGTCCCTCTAGAATCTTTAGTCTAGAATCTCGAAATCAGTTCGTACAAATTCCCCAAATACAAGAATAACAATTTCCCCAGACTTTTCTTTACCTGAACTCCGAAATGCAAATGAACAGAAAGCCCTGTTTCGTGGTCATACAGTAAAGTCCAACCTCTATCCGGGTATCTCACAATATCGTATGAATCATATCACCCGAATCTCAAAAAACCAAAGAAAAATCACCCCCGTCGAGTGGAAAGATCTGTAGCTCAGCTGACAAACCTCCTAAGTGCCTCGTCCATCTCTCAAGAATACAAGCACCAGAATTCCCTTGGTCGACAAGTGTCAGATGAAGGAGATAGCATGACCAAATAGCGAAGATTCTCAGACAGAAACAGAAACATGGTGCCTAGACCTAGACCGACTTTCCCCAGTTCGCCTGGGCCTGCTGGTTGACTTTTGCGAATTTGGCAATGTCAGTTGGACGAGCGAGTTCAATAATGACTTCAAGGAATCGGATTCGGACTCGGTAACGTCGTCTCTGGTGGTAACTTTGACTTGGGAATTTCCACTACCATCCATGCTTCCGTCCTTCGTCCTACTCTTATTCTTCGTCTTCGGCTTCTTGTTCCCAGCCTGCTTATCCTGTCTCGCAGCTTTGGCAATTTGCTTCCTGTTCCTCGCATTGATAGGCTTGGGATTGTTCTTTCTGTCTCCACCCCCATCCCCATCCCCATCATCGCGCTTCCTGTCCTTATCCTTTCGTCTATCATTCATACTATAATCTATTAGCATTCTATATCTCTCAACACAAGAGCGATGAACTTACCGTAATTCCTTCTCACAAGCTGGACATGGCCACTTCTTCATGTGAGACCAGTCGTGCCGGGGACAGTAGTTCTCATGCGTCTCACACCAGAGCCCATTGTGTCTACAGTTCCCCGGATAGTTATCAACTTTCCCAGTAAGTCCTGGGCAATGATGCCTAGGACCGCTGCGCGCGTGTGGCATTGTGGTTTAGTAGGTGTAAATCTGGCGGAAGGTGCGACTGGTGTGTTGGGTGGTGGTGGTGGTGGGTGTGCGAGAAATGCGTTGCGTAGAGTTGGGAGAGGATAGATATATCGGGAAGGTATATCCGCGGAGTATATGGCCTTGGATGAACGTATAGACAGGTGCGGAAATTACTAGACTTCCAGAAAGCTAACTTTGTCTGGGTGAATTTGTTGTTGTTGCTTTGCGCGTTCGCTGCGTTATTGTCCGATTGGTCAATGGGGAGGCCGATTGTTGCCTGGGGACGCAAGACTTCTGAATTCACCCCCATCTTGCTTGTGCACTTCTTCATTGAGAACTTGTTGATACTATGTACACTGCATTCACTATTTAAAACAATATTATGCGAAAGGTTCAGTACAACTAAGTTAATTGTCTTGGAATACGTATTAAAATAAAAGGAGAGAGGGAAATTTATACAAAGCTGTTTTCATAACTTTATATACGTATCTTGGTTACACAAGACTTTTGGAATGATATTATTCTAAGCTAGTTATACAGAGTAGTGGTCACATATCTTACCAGCGTTCGACCAAAATATTTGGTTACTTAGATATTAAGGTTGTCTTAATAAGGGTAGAGTAAGTAGACCCTAGATTTGAATCTTAGAGGATGATTGAGGTTGTGACTCGGTTAGAGCTTGAGACAAGACTTCAAGAGTTAAGCAGGTTGCAAGGTCTCGATTGCAAAGCAAACACATTTTTGTCTTCTAGGAAGCTGTCTCAGATTGAGCTGGACTTAAGTATTTAGTAAAGGAAAGGGGATCATACCAATTGTATGGTCGAATTGTTCATCGCCCGTCTTATCTTTGAGTTAGGACAACGAGCCTTGGGATGCTCGACTATTGAGTGGATGTCTTGCTGCGAGTAGCCTATTTCAAGTAAGAGACCTGGTTAATACTCTTTACACATGATAAAAGATAATTCCACCATGCGTCTAGTATAAGTCAATTCAACCCCTCTTTCTGACCTCTCACAACCCCTACACCACCAACGCCGCTACTATGGCGACCCAAACACAGTCAAACCCGGAATGGCAACAAGAAGTCATAGAAGGAACAGCCTACGAACCCATGCAACTCTTCAACGAACCCACGCTCCCCATCAGCCCAATTTACCCAATTATCACCCTGGGAACTCCAATCCCCCAAACACCTAGCGCCAATGGCCAAGACTACCTCCTAGGA